CAGAGCTGCTGCGCTAATTCTCGTGGGTGATCAGAGCCTCGGGTTCGTCCTCTCGACGTGAAAGGCATTTCACACCAATGTCATTTTGTTGTTGTTGTTAGTTGGGGTTAGATTGACCTTGAGCTTTATCAGTGTCAGGCCGGCTCAGTGGGTAGCGCTCTCTCTCTCTCTCTCTCTCTCTCTCTCACCTCTGAGTCAGAAGTTTGTGGGTTCAAGCCCCCACTTTGGGACTTGGAATCACACAGTCTAAGCTGATGCCCCAATGCAGCGCTGGGGGGAGTGTTGCACTGTCAGAGGTGCCGTTCTTCAGATGAGACGTTAAACCGAGGTCCCCGTCTGCCTGTACGGGTGGATGTTAAGGATCCCGCGGCGCTATTCGAAAAGAGAAGGGAGTTTCTCTCTCTCTCTCTCTCTCCCGCTTTCCTGGTCACAAAATAAAATTGGTCACTCATGGACGATGAGTGTGGGACATTGCTGTGCACAAATTGGCTGCCGTGTTTCGCCCACAAATACAGAGTCACTCCACTTTACAGTAAATCCTGTGAAGCGCTTCGGGACGTCGTCCTGACGTGAAATAATTTGCATTTGACACGGCGCCTTATCAAGTCTTCGAGCCGTCTCAAAGCGCTTCACAGGATATGGTGTAAAGTGTAGTGACTGTGTGTTTTTGTGGGCGAAATGCCAGGGAGCTCCAGCTGGTGACAATCTACAGTCACTAACAGCAGAGACACGGTGGGGGGTGCCGGGGAGGAGCACGATTCCAGGCAGGAAACAATTTTTCTTAATTTATTTCAGACGAGGGGGTGGAAGGCCTCTCGCTTATTTTCCTTTCTTGCAGGCAGTGCGAAGCGGGGATTAATGATAGTGGTTACCCTGTGATTTGCTTGCGGGAGGCGCTGGGCTGAACAAAAGGGGAGGCGGCTGATCCTCTGTTTGTGCCGCGCTTCGGGAGAAGCTTTTATTGAATAAATGTTGTTTCTGCAGCAACAGAAGATTAACGTCTTCTCACATTAATTATCAGGAACAAACACCCAACCAATACCTCGTTGCTCACCTGTGAGACAGGAGGCTGGTTAACTGCTCTGGGCCCTAAATAAATGAAAGTTGTTGTTGTTGTAGTTCACAGCAGTGGACGCACTCCCCCCCCCCCCGTGTATGTGTGGGCTTGAGTCTTAATTTAATGCTTCGATGGTGTGTTGCATTGCAGAGAAACCAATCATTTAATTAATGAGTAAACGTGCGATCAGTCACAGGGTGATGTGCAGCGCAGTTACATCGGTCTGACCGGCCTCCCTGAGAAGGAGAAAAATGTCATCACGATCCTCTTAAAATGAAACACCCACCCACCCAGCTTCCCAACCCAGGCTGGGGGTTAGACAGTTACCATGGTCACTGCGCCATCTTCTAAAACAATTTTAAAGACAATGTGTGTCCGGGGGAATTTCAGGGCTCAGAGTTGGAAGGTTCAGGGAGAGAGCGCGAGCTTCAAGGTTATGATAATAATAATCCTGGTAACTAACCAATATCTTATCACGTCGTCAAGATGTCTCAAAGCGTAAACAAGTTTCTCCTGAGCCACAGAGCCTCCTGTCTGCAGTAATGGGCATCATAGCTGCGCAGGGCAGGTTGGCAAGCAGGCAGGGCAGGTGGGCAAGCAGGCAGGGCAGGTGGGCAAGCAGGCAGGGCTGGAGGGCAAGCAGGCAGGGCTGGAGGGCAAGCAGGCAGAGCAGGTGGGCAAGCAGGCAGGGCTGGAGGGCAAGCAGGCAGGGCTGGAGGGCAAGCAGATGTGGAGTCCTGTAGCTCAGTGGTTAGATCACTCGCCTCGTAAGCGAGCGGACGAGAAGCGAGAAGGCCTGGGTTTGATTCCCGGTCAGGGCGAAACCTTGGGCAAGTTTCCTTACTCCACTCACATGCCTCTGTTTACCAGCAGTGAGTAGGAACCCGCTTGTTAGTTTATTGGCGGATCGCTTTTCCTCAACTCCAAATCTCAGTGTTGGTATTGAAACGGTTTCTTCCTCTTCCTCCCCAACCACCCTCTGCCCCTCAGCCTTTCAGATATAAGTACCACTACAATAATAATAATAATAATAATCCTTGCATTTGATACAGCACCTTATTACGTCAGTGAGACGTCTCAAAGCGCTTCACAGGATACACTGTAAAGTGCATTACTTTGACTGTGGCCAAAATATTAATTATAAATATTTGGCGGACACTGAATATTTGTCCCCCACCTTCCCGCCCACCCCCACCACCCCCACCTGAAGCATTGCCCCTTTAAGGACGACTGCTGTTCTAACTTACGGGACAAGTGGAGGCAGTTTACAGTGTGGCACAAATGGGTTGGTGAGGGGGGGGTCAGGGAGAGGGATGGCGTGATGCCTAATGTATCTGGGAAGAGGTTGCTGTCTGGGCACTAGTAGGAAATCCCCTCCCACCCCTCCCCTGCCCCCGGGGTCTTTAAAGGCTTGGGGAGCGAGTAGCGACTGACCGGCTGACGCGACTGACTGATGTTCTATTCTGAGATCACTCCGAGCAGAGCATTACAGCCACATCACAAGGAGCTCCGAGACTCCGCAGCACGTCTGTGTGCAGCAGCCAGCGATGCCCTCCAGCGGAGAGACTCTCCCCCACTCCCCCACACCCCCCCCCCCACTCACATCCCCTCCCACCACCCACCCGGCAGAGAAGCTTTTAACAAATCAGGTTGATTTAAAAAAAACCTCATCAATCAGCTCCTCTCCTCTCAGACCCAACGCAAACCTCAGCCACTGCAGCAAGTCTCTGCCTCCCTCCTCCCGTCTCTGAGCCTGAGGGAGGAACACACTCAACTCACTCCCTCACTCACTCACGCACTGCAGGGGGTCTGCGGGTGTGAGGGTGGGGGATTGGGGGTGGGGGTGCTCTTCCGAGGGAGGGGCTGTTAAGATCCGGGCCAGGCTGTGCCAGTGTTAACCCCTCGCTCCCCCTGGCCTCGGCTGCCCGCTCCAGTCCATGTGGTGCTTGTTCTGCGCCTGTGAGAGGCTGCCTCCTCTGCTGGAGGCAGATCCCGGGTAAGTTCCCGACCGTCCACCAGCCTCACGTCAGCTCAGAGAGCGATGGTGGGACTGGGGAGCTGTGCTGTTTCTCCGTCTCTCTCTCTCCTCTGTCCCTCTCCTCTCTCCCTCTCCCTCTACTCCCCCTCTCCTCTCCGCTGCTCTCTGTACTCGATTGACTGAAAAAGGCATTTCAGATCAATTCTTCACTGCAATCCTTCCGTTTTCTTCATTTGACCCAGCGCCTTATCATGTCGTTGAGACGTCTCAAAGCGCTTCACAGGATGCACTGTAAAGTGTAGTGACTGCGTATTTTGTGGGGGCGGAACAAGGCAGCCAGTTGCCCACAGCAGCGTCCCCACAACCAGTGGTGGACTGAGTGGCCAAATTATTATTATTTTTTCTTGGTGTTACAAGGTGGAAAGGCAGGAGGAGTTGGGGCTCTGTGTCTCGGTCAAGTCTCTAATCACAGCTGTTTCTGAGCTAAAATTCCGTGCGTTCTGTTTGCGTCGGTCAGTGAGACACGAGGCAAAGACTGGCACAGGCTGGGAGAGGGCGAGGGGGGCTGGGAGAGGGCGAGGGGGGCTGGGAGAGGGCGAGGGGGGCTGGGAGAGGGCGAGGGGGGCTGGGAGAGGGCGAGGGGGGCTGGGAGAGGGCGAGGGGGGCTGGGAGAGGGCGAGGGGGGCTGGGAGAGGGGGGGGGCTGGGAGAGGGCGAGGGGGCTGGGAGAGGGCGAGGGGGGCTGGGAGAGGGCGAGGGGGCTGGGAGAGGGCGAGGGGGCTGGGAGAGGGCGAGGGGGGCTGGGAGAGGGCGAGGGGGGTGGGAGAGGGCGAGGGGGCTGGGAGAGGGCGAGGGGGGCTGGGAGAGGGCGAGGGGGCTGGGAGAGGGCGAGGGGGGCTGGGAGAGGGCGAGGGGGGCTGGGAGAGGGCGAGGGGGGCTGGGAGAGGGCGAGGGGGGCTGGGAGAGGGCGAGGGGGGCTGGGAGAGGGCGAGGGGGCTGGGAGAGGGCGAGGGGGGCTGGGAGAGGGCGAGAGGGGCTGGGAGAGGGTGAGAAGGTGATTAACATCGTGTTTGACATTCCCGGGTTCCGGGTGCTCGCGCTCGCCGGGTAAATCCAGCTGTTTCTGGCACGGCTGGGCCAACACAGCGACGGACGGACTCACAGATGTGCCGCGGTTTGAGATTGTGCGTGCGGGCGCGCGAGTCGGACGGCATTCCCGTCTCCACTAGAATCTCTGCAGGTGTCGCACGCGCGTGTGGGTGCGTGTGGGTGTGGGGGGTGGTGGGAAGGGGGGAAGTGGCTGAGCACCGAGAGGGAACGTCGTGGAGTTTTACAGGCCGGAGTCTGTCGGTAATTTAGCCGCGAAGCAGCCTGGCCCAGGTCATCGGGTCAAAGCTCGCTTGACATCCAGAAGTCACACCGTTTTGTGTTGCCCAACCGGGTGTCTGACACCTGCGGAAACCCGTCACCGTTGCTCAAGAGTCTCCAAACTCAACTGAGAATTCCCCGCCTCCCACCCACACGTGGAAATCCCAGAGATAGGTTGTCGGAATGGGATGCGCTCTCTCTCTCTCTCTCTCTCTGGAGGGACGCCCCCTGTTTACCTAATTCCAGAAAGTATTAGGTGCAGGTTGGCAAGAGCCAAGGCCTGTGGGTGGGGGGGGAGGGGGGGTCGAGCCCAGAGTGTGCGTTGGGGGTAACTGCTGGAGTCTAACCAGCTAACCCCACACATAGCTCGGCCATTGAGAGAGAGAGAGAGAGAGAGAGAGAGAGAGCGCTGTCTGGCAACACGAACTTCAATTGAACGGTGGACTGGATGGGCCTTGAAGACTGTGTGTAACTATTCCGTGGGTGGAAGATTATAATAATAATAATAATGATAGTAATAACAGTGTGAGAAGAGAAGGCGCTGTGCGTGTGCACGTGTGCGTGTCTCCGCCTGACCTGCGTGGTGTTTATTTTCCAGCGTGGAGTGTGATGCCCCAGGGAGTGAGCCGGGCCACCCCTCGCTGGACAGCCCCTCTGGTTACCCTCACGTCTCGCTGAGCGCCTCCGCCGTCAGCCCCGACCGCTTCGACAGCCCCTCCCTGGGGCCGCTGTCCATCTCCCCGGGCCTCCAGCGCCCCAGGCGCTCCAAACTGCAGCATTCCGCCTCCATCCTACGCAAGCAAGCCGAGGAGGAGGCCATAAAACGCTCTCGATCCCTTTCGGAAAGCTATGAACTCTCCTCGGATCTTCAGGACAAACAGGTGATTAACTGAGCGAGGGGATGTGGGGGGGGATTGGGGGGAAAGGCTTGTCACACCCATTTAATTAAAGCAAGAGATGAGCAATCGTAATAATTATAATAATAATAATATTAATGCTTGCATGTGATACGCCGTCTCATCACATCGTCGAGACGCCTCAAAGCGCTTCACAGGATACGCTGTAAAGTGAACGGACTGTGAATTTGGGGGTGAAACGCAGCAGCCAATTTGCACACAGCAGCGTCCCCGCAAACGTTGATTGAATGACCCAATTTTCTTTTCTCCAATCGACTGACAACTGAGTTCCTACTTAACTGTTAGTCAGTAGGACTCCACTTGTTATGACTCTCTCCCTCTCTCTCTCTCTCGCTCCCTCTCTTGCTGTGTCTGTGTGTGTGTGTGTCTCTCTCTCTCGCTGTGTGTGTGTGTCTCTCACTGTGTGTGTCTGTATGTGTTTGTGTCTCTCTCTCGCTGTATGTGTGTGTGTCTCTCTCGCTATGTGTGTGTGTGTGTGTGTGTCTCTCGCTGTGTGTGTGTGTCTCTCGCTGTGTGTGTGTGTGTCTCTCGCTGTGTGTGTGTGTGTCTCTCTTGCTATGTGTGTGTGTGTGTGTCTCTCTCACTGTATGTGCGTGTCTCTCTCTCGCTGTATGTGTGTGTCTCTCTCTCGCTATGTGTGTGTGTCTCTCTCTCTCGCTCTCTCTCTCCCCCTCTCGCCTGGGGCGAGGGCTAGCCAGCGGGCGAGGCTGTGGGTGCCTGTGACTAACCCCGTGCTCGGTGTCTCTCAGGTGGAGATGCTGGAACGTAAATATGGTGGCCGCTTCATAACCCGACATGCGGCGCGGACCATCCAGACAGCATTCCGGCAGTACCAGATGAACAAGAACTTTGAGCGCCTACGAAGCTCCATGTCGGAGAACCGGATGTCCCGGCGAATCGTGTTGTCCAACATGCGGATGCAGTTCTCCTTCGAGGGTCCAGAGAAGCTCCACAGCTCCTTCTTTGAGGGCAAACAGGTGTCCGTGAGCGAGGCAGGGGGCCGGCCGGCCGGCGGCGGAGGCGGGGGGGAGCTGGGGGCTGGTGCGGGGGGCTCGGAGGTCCCCAAGCAGCCCCCCTCTCCCCACGACACGTCGGACTTTGCCGACGCGATCACCGAGCTGGAGGACGCCTTCTCACGCCAGGTTAAGTCTCTGGCGGAGTCAATCGACGACGCACTGAACTGTCACAGCCTGCACGCGGGGGAGGGGGGGCCTGCGGGGGTGGAGGGGGGGCGGGGGAGGGGGGGGCGGCGTTACCGGGGCAACGCCGCCGCCGAGGAGGAAGAGGAGGAGGAAGAGGAGGCGGAGGAAGAGGCACGGCGGAGGGGGGAGAAGATGGCGGCGCCCCCCCCGGGGATGGAGAGCGCGCGGTACGGGAAGTCCTGCCGCGAGGCCGAGCGGGGGAAACTGGACGAGATGTCGGCCTCGTACAGCGACGTGACCCTGTACATCGACGAGGAGGAGCTGTCGCCCCCCCCTCTGCCCGTCTCCCTCCACCCCGGCGACCGGCCGTCCAGCGCGGAGTCTGACCTGCGCCTGCGCTCGCTCAGCTCCGCCCAGGAATACTGGGCACTCACTCACCGGGACGACAAGGGGGAGACCGACAACAGCTGCCGCAGCACCCCCTCGCTGGAGTGCCAGGAGTCCCGCCTGCGGGTGGACCACCTGCCGCTGCTCACCATCGAGCCCCCCAGTGACAGCTCCGTGGACCTCAGCGACCGGTCCGAGAGGGGCTCCCTCAAGAGGCAGAACGCCTACGACCAGAGTGGGCCCGGCAGCCAGCGGGCTAGCCCCAAGCACGGCCCCCACCCCCACCCCCACTCCCACCCGCACCCCCTCCCCACCAGGGTGCTCCACCGCGACGACGAGATGACCCGGCACCGGCACAGGCCCCTGGACGGGCACCTGGCCATCAACGGCAATGCCAACCGGCAGAGCAAGTCAGAGTCGGACTTCTCCGACGGTGACAACGACAGCATCAACAGCACCTCCAACTCCAACGACACCATCAACTGCAGCTCGGAGTCCTCGTCCAGGGACAGCCTCCGCGAGCAGACCCTCAGCAAACAGACCTACCACAAGGAGACGCGCAACAGCTGGGACTCGCCCGCCTTCAGCAACGACGTCATCAGGAAGCGGCATTATCGCATCGGCCTCAACCTCTTCAACAAGTGAGCTGGGCGAGGGAGGGGCAGCTCTGTCCCACGGGTGGAGGGGCTTGATCCTGAAGGGGAGGGGGGCTTGGGCCCGGGGAAGAGGGCCTGGGGAAGGGGGGGGAGGGCCCGAGGTAGGGGGCTCGGGCCAGGGAGTGGGGCTTTGTCTGAGGTGGGTGGGGCTCAGTCTCTGGGAAGGTAGGGCTGTGCCCTGGGGGAAGGGGTGGGATTGCCGGCCAGCACGCGGGGGGAAACTCCCTCATTTCCAATCGAGCTAAGGTCTTTTTATCGTCCCATTTGAACAGGGCACAGGCGGGAGCTCAGTTTAACATCACATCCATTTGGTGGCATTTCTGACTCATGCAGCGTTCCCCTACAACCCCTCTCCCCCCTCTCCGTCCCCCGCATTGCATTGCAGTGTCAGTGTACACCAGTGAGCACCAAGTCCTAATGAGGGGCGGGGGCTCCCGACCTTCTGACTGGGAGGTTGAGTGTTAGTGTCTGTCTGTCTGTCTGAGCCAGACAGGCCGGGTGGGTGGGTGGGTGGGTATATTGGGTGTATTGGTATAGACGGCCAAAGTCCTTGGCTGGTGATGTGGAAGAAGGTCACCTTGTTCTCTGGCACAGATCCTGTGGCATCGGATCAAGTTACAGGACATGACGTCCTGGAGGACAGTGGATGGGGGGTGTGGAGCTGTTACCTGCAGAGCTCTCAGTGACACCCACTCAGTCAGAACCCTTGGATCCTGTGGGGGTTTTTGTGGGTCTGACACGCGGGGAAACCCATCACCGTTGCTTAAAAGTATCCAAACCCAATTGAGAATTCCAGGCCTCCCACCTACACATGGAAATCCCAGAGACAGATTTTAGGAATGAAATGCGCTCTCTCTCTCACCCCGGAGGGACACATCATGCTTACCTAATTCCGGAGAGTATTAGGTGCAGGCTGGCTGGAGCCAAGGCTTGGGGGGGTGGGGGGAGCTCAGAGTGTGTGTTGGGGTAACTACTGGAGTCTAACCAGCTAAATCCACACATAGCTTGCCATTGATAGTGCGCATCTGCTTGTCCAGCTCGGACCACCCTCCCCGTTAGGGTTTTGGCTTGTGGGGTTAACAAGAGCTGAATGAGATGACTCCCTACCCCCAGTGAGCCAGGCCGGGCTGTGCTGTCATGAGTAGCGAGTGCCCTGGGATACGGAGGACCCTCCTGGCTCTTTACTAAACTCGCAGATCGTTTTTGTTAGACGTTTCTCTCTCCAAGTCTGGCACAAAAGCTGAGCTGGAAATTACTGATGTTTGTTCCTTCCCCCGCTCCTCTTTCCCCCCCCCCCCCCCTCTTCGCCCCACCGCCCCCCCAGGAAACCAGAGAAAGGGGTGCAGTATCTGATCGAGAGGGGGTTTGTCCCTGACACCCCGGTCGGTGTGGCTCACTTCCTGCTCCAGAGGAAAGGTCTGAGCCGGCAGATGATCGGGGAATTTCTGGGCAACCGGCAGAAACAGTTCAACCGCGACGTGCTTGAGTAAGTAACCGTCCCGACATCCCAATGCCCTCGGTCAGCCCTCCGAGTCCCTGCCCCGTGTGACAGGCGCTATGTACATGCAAGCGGGTAGCGTAGTGGTTAGCGTCCTCGTCTCGCAAGCGAGAGGTTCGATTCCCGGCCGGGGTCAAACCTGAGGCATGTTTCCTTACTCCACCCACACGCCTCTGTTTACCTAACAGTCAGTAGGAACCCGGTTGTCAGTCGATTGGCAGATCGCTTTCCAGGGGTAAATAATCCCTTCAAAATAATAATTTGGTCACTCAATCCCCAGTGTTTGTGGGACACTCACCACTGTACATAATTGGCTGCCGCGTTTCGCCCACAAAATGTACAGTCAATTCACTTGACAGTATATTCTGTGAAGCGCTTTGAGACGTCTCGAAGACGTGATGAGGCGCTGTACCAAATGCGAGGATTATTATTGTAGGATTATTAAATCGCTCGCAAGCTTCAGAATCAAAAAATTGTCAGCTGGAGTCTGAGAAAGACGTAATCACCGAAGCGGAGAGTGAATCTGCTGCTATCTGCTGGCTACTACCTCACACTGCTGTCACAGCAAGACCATCAGAACAACAACAACAACAGTCCTTCACGCCAGACAGCGTTTCCGAGGGCTTGCATTTGTATAGCGTCCCTCGAATAATAATTACATAATAATATTCCTTGCACTTGGTATAGCCCCTTATCACGGCGTTGAGACATCTCAAAGCGCTTCGCAGGATTTGTGGGGTAAAACCCGGATCGAGTGACTAACTGATGGGGTAAAACCTGGAACTTCTCTTTTCCAGCTGTGTGGTGGACGAGATGGATTTCTTGGGAATGGAGCTGGACGAGGCTCTGAGGAAATTCCAGGCGCACATCAGGGTTCAGGGAGAAGCTCAAAAAGTGGAACGTCTCATCGAAGCCTTCAGGTAACCTGACTCCGGCTCCCAACCCTGACCCGAACTTTGTGTGTGTGGGCGTGTGTTAGTGGGTGTGTGTGGATGGGTGTGTGTGTGTGTGGGTGGGTAGCGAGCAACAGTGCAGGGCAATGGCGGGATGCGGGTGGGAGAAAGAACAGGGGAATGGGATTAGACTAAAGAGCTCCATGGGGGGCGCGGGGTTGGGGTGGGGGCAAGAGTGGGGGAGAGCGGACACCAGCACAGGTGCGATGAGCTACACACAGTGCACTATAGTAAACAAATACATGGCGGGTGGGAGGGTGTAACAGGACTTTGTGGAGACCTTGTAGAGTGCGTGTGTCTGGCTGGTTGAGTGGTAAGACCCTACTCTGCGACTGATTTCCTACACCCCCCTCCCCACTCCCTTCGGTCATCCACTTACCCCTGCCCCCAACCCCCAGCTCAGGTCCAATGCCCAATGCTCTGACTGACCAGAGCCCTGGGACGTCCTCCCGGCATTGTGTAAACGTCGTTTGTTGCTGTTTGGTTTCGGGGTGCGCGCCCCCTCCGCCCCCCCAGGCTGACTCTGCCTCTCTGGTTACAGTCAGCGTTACTGTATCTGTAACTCGGGGGTGGTCCGGCAGTTCCAAAACCCCGACACCATCTTCATCCTGGCCTTCGCCATCATCTTGCTCAACACCGACATGTACAGCCCCAACGTCAAGCCAGAGCGCAAGATGAAGCTGGAAGATTTTGTGAAGAACCTGCGAGGTGAGTGTGGGCTTGGCGAGGTGGGGGGGTGGCGAGGTGGGGGTGGGGGGCACAGAGGGGGGGATGGACAGGCTTCTCTCTCAGCGAGGATGGGGAAAAATGAGCCTGGGAGTGGTGCGGGGTGGGGGGAGCAGTGCCAGGGGGGAAGGGGTGAGAATGGGGATTAATTGTGTTGACCAAAGACGCAAGTGGTAAGTTGGGAGCGAGTTCCCACACAGTGCCCAGTGGCTCCTCCACTGATGGTTGGTGCAGAGGGTGTGAGGAACACATGACTGTTAACGTAAAGGCAAGGACTGAAGAGGAAAAACTTGCAAGGAAATGGGGAAAGAGCGGAGGGAGTGGGACTGGTTGGGTGGCTCTTCCGAACAGCCAGCACAGGCACGATGGCGAATGGCCTCCTTCTGTGCTGTAATATTCTTTGATTCTATGATTCTATTCCTGTGACATGTCAAAGCAGTGTTGGGATCTGCTGTGTATGTGGATGTGTGTGTGTGTGTGTGGGTGTGTGTGTAGCTCTGCCTCGCTCTCTCTGCTGTAAGCGAGGTAACCCAGGTCATTAAACAGAAGGCAAAATACTGCAGATGCTAGAAAACAGAAGTAGCTGAGAACACTCAGGAGGTCAGGCAGCATCTATGGCGAGAGGAAAGTGAGTTAACGTTTTAGGTTAGTCGACCTGAAACGTCAACTCACTTTCCTCTCTCCATAGATGCTGCCTGACCCGCTGCTGCGTGTTGCTAGCGACCTCTGATTTTAACCCATGGTGATTGTGTTGCCCCCCAGGCGTGGACGATGGAGAGGACATCCCCAGAGAGATGCTGATCGGTATTTACGAGCGAATCCGCAAACGAGAGCTCAAGACAAACGAGGATCACGTGTCTCAGGTCCAGAAAGTGGAGAAGCTGATCGTGGGCAAGAAACCGGTAGGTGGCACGACGTGGGGGGGCATTGACAATGGGCTGGCAAGGGGGGTGGGGGGAACTAATGAGGGAATGTCGAGCATGTGGGAAGGGGGGGCGCGTGGAGGGGACTTAATGATGGAACAGCTGGGGGGTGGGGTTGGTATGTGAGGCTGTTCCCAAGTCAACGAGAATCAAAGCAGGTAACGGGTGCTGAACAAAACCCGGTGTTTCTTAACCGATGGGATAATCCCGTTTGAGTCCATTAAGGAAACATATTTGGGAGATATTTATGGAGCGGTTTCGGAGTTGAGCACAATTTTCCTTTATTTATTTGGGTATTTGGCCACCACTCCCTGTCCCGACCAGGGCATGGCATCCTTTCCTGTCGCACGGACGGCTGCCTGTCTGAGTGGCCCCGAGTCGTGCAATATGCTGCGGCTGTCTGTCTGTCTGTCTGTCTGTCTGTGTCTGTCTGTCTGTCTGTCTGTCTGTCTGTCTGTCTGTCTGTCTGTCTGTCTGTCTGTCTGTCTGTCTGTCTGTCTGTCTGTCTGTCTGTCTGTCTGTCTGTCTGTCTGTCTGTCTGTCTGTCTGTCTGTCTGTCTGTCTGTCTGTCTGTCTGTCTGTCTGTTGTGTGTTTGTGTTGTTCTGTGGCTTTTCTCTGATATCTAACAGCCCTTCTTTGTGTCTTTCCCATCACAGATCGGATCCCTGCACCACGGCCTGGGTTGTGTACGTATTATTTTTCTTATTGATTACCAATCGCAGCTTAGGGTTGGGTTGGGGCTGGGCTGGGGTTGGGGGTTAGGGGTGGGGTTGGGTTGGGGGCTGTAGTTGAGGCTGGGGCTGGGCTGGGCTGGGTGCTGGCGTCTCTCCGACAGACGGGTTGAGGTGTGATGTTTGCTCCTGGCTCAGGTTCTCTCGCTCCCTCATCGTCGGCTCGTGTGTTATTGCCGACTGTTCGAGGTTCCGGATCCCAACAAACCTCAGAAGCTGGGATTACACCAGAGGGAAATCTTCCTGTTCAACGATCTCCTTGTGGTAGGTTCCTCCTCCCTAACTTGGGAGCCCATGGTCTCTATGCCCAGCCACCACAGACCATGTCCCTTCCCTGCCTACCTCCCACCCGCCCAGGCATGTTTCCCCCTCTCCCCACACCCACCCCCACTCCCACCGCCACCGTATTCCCCTGTGAACAATTCAGCCTTTCTGCCCCCACCCTGTGCAACTCCACAACTTTCTGAGCCCTGACTGGCCTCCAGCACACCGGTGACTGGGATCAGCCGCTGACCTCGCCCTCTGTATCCAGGTTACAAAGATCTTTCAGAAGAAGAAGAACTCTGTGACCTACAGCTTTAGACAGTCCTTCTCTCTCTACGGGATTCAAGTTCTTCTCTTCGAGAACCAATGTGAGCATCTCCTCTCCATCAACCTCCCCACTGTTAGCTCTCCATAGCTCTCGCTCTCTGTATCTCTCTCTCTCGCTCTCTGCTAGCTCTCATTCTCTCTGATCACCCTCCCTCTCCCTCACTCTCTCTATTGTTCCCTCTCTCTTTCGCTCTCGCACTCTATTTAGCGTCATCTATCTCTCTCTCTGTTTGCTCTCATTCTCTCTAACCACCCTTTCTCTCAGACCTGCTCTCTCTCTCTCTCTCTCTCCTTGTCTCTCTCTCTCTCTCTCTCTCGCTCTAATCTTTCTCTCCCCCCGGTTTTCTTTCCCTCAGATTACCCGAATGGAATCCGATTGACGTCCGCTATCCCAGGGGCCGATGTCAAAATCCTCATTAACTTCAACGCCCCCAACCCTCAGGACCGCAAAAAGTTCACCGACGACCTGCGGGAATCCATCGCCGAAGTCCAGGAGATGGAAAAATACCGAATAGAATGTAAGCTTCCTCCCTCCAGAGTTTCCGTACAGCCCTTGCTGCGGGGTTTATTCTTCACTTCTCTCCCCTTCCTCCTGCTCTTCTGAACGCGCCACTCCTCTGTCCTTCCGATGGGAGTCAGGGGGTGGGGGGGGGGGTGTTGTCAGGGGATGTGGGACCCTCCAGTACCTCGCCACACGGACCACTTTGGAGTCCCGTAGCGGAGTGGTTAGTGCACTCGCCTCGCAAGCGAGAGGACCCGGGTCCCAATCCCATTTGGGTCGAGTGAAGCCTTAGGCAACTTTCCTTACTCCACACACACAGGCCTCTGTTTACCCAGTAGTGAGTAGGAACCCGATTAGTTAGTCGATTGACAGCCATTTTCTGGGGGTATTTAATAATCCCTCCCCCAAAAATAAATAATAATTTGGGTTAAAAAGCAGCCGACTAGTTTACCTCTCATGACGTCTAATTAATGACGTTCGTGAATATTCTAAGAGTGAAGGATCCATAGAGACTCCCCCCAAATGGCTGTGAGTGTGAGGACATGTGGGAGATGCTTTCTACGTGTTGATTGTGTGTTAACCTCGTGGGTCGTCCCTCGTAATCGCTCAGTCTCTTGTTGGCTTTGGGAGTCGCGATTGTCTCAATCATTCGCTCCGCAGCGTGAAGAGTTGTGCAGATCACTCACAAACACTTTAATGTCTTCAGCTGAGCTGGAGAAGCAGAAGGGTGTGGTCCGCGTCAGCATGTCCCAGAGCTCCGGCCTGAAGAAGGATTCGGGGAACGGGACGCTGAGCAGGGCCAGCCTGGACGACAGCTACGCCACCAGCGAGGGTCTGAAGAGGAGCGCCCTGAGCAGCTCTCTGCGGGATCTCTCGGAAGCAGGTGAGTGCTCGCCCACATACTTAGGAACATCGCAACATAGGAGCAGGAGGAGGCCATTCAGCCCCTCCAGCCTGTTCTGCCATTCTATTAGATCACGGCTGAGCCATACCTCTACTCCAATTACCTGCCCTTTGCCCCATATTCCCCTTGATACCCTGAGCTAACAAACAACTATCTACTTCGGGCTGGACAACGGGAATGGATCCAGCCATAATCCACAGCCTTTTGGGGGAGGGGGAGAGAGAGAGAGAGATTCCCGCTCCCCTCCTCAATCCACTACATGCCTCGCAACTCATTCCGTTTCACGTTCGCCTTAAACGCAATCCCGTTGGCATGTCGCCAGGCGAGGAGAACGAGGATGTTGGGGAGGAACATTATTATTATTATTATTGGGGAGGAAGGTGATCGGTGGGTGGATGGTCGTGTAGTGGGGGGGGGGGGGGGAGATCATACAAGCTATTGATAAATAGACCCTCTCCGAGGGCCACAGTGACACTGAAGCCCCGGCTAATACACACAGTCAAACCAGGCAGTGTTTCCCGGTGACTTCCATGTTGTCCTCCCGATCCTTCTTGAAGCTCAAATCCTGTCTTGAGTCACAGGATGTTACAGCGCAGACACCGATCAGCGCTCAAGCCGGTGTGTTTATTCTGGCTGTGAGGCGCCCAGTCTAGACAGTTACAACACCAGCTCGTGTCTAGCCAGCTCCCTTCGCCTCGGGATAACAACAACAACCACCGCAACAACTTGCGTTGATATAGCGCCCTTCACGCGGGGTTGCGTCCCGCGGCACTTTCGTCTCACCCGTAACGTGACCGGGGTCAGACGTACACGCACAGACGTGCTCTGATCACATACGTGTCTTGAAGGGAAGCTCCCGAGGGTTAGGAATGGGATGAAATGGGAATTTAGTCAACAACAACTCGCATTTATAAAGACATGCTACGAACATTAGACATGCTCAGATTGCATTGACCTCTTACCTCACCATCCTTACATTGGGCGGCGGGAGCGGGGAGGACAGTCTGGAAATCGATATGAATTAACTGCCCCTCAACCCTCGGCTGTCCATTCCTTTGCTCGCTCGTTCGTTCACTCCCATCGAGTACAGAATCCCCCACCGTTCCAACCGCTCCCAGTGACAACTCCCCTTCCTGTCTCTTGTGTTCTTTGAGTCCCTCAGAAGTCACTCCCCGTGTTTCACCGACTGTGTATCTCTGTGAGGATCCCAGAGGGTCACAAGATCTCCAAACACTTGTTACCGTTCCCATTTCTCTCTCTCTCTCTCTCTCTTTTCTCTCTCCTCTCTCTCCTGCTTCTTAGAAACCGTTCCATCCTCCTCCTCCTCCTCCAAACACAACAACAAGAAACCTTCATTTCTGATGTTAAAGTAAGATTAACACAGAATGTTCACCTCTCCCACATTTCAGTTCCCCACGCGGGCCACAGTAATGTGCTGATTCCGGGCTGGAAGACGATTTTGATTTATATGTTTTGTACTTTTACGCACTGCGTGCCTCCCTTGGAAAGTGTGTGGGGGGTGGTGGGGGGGGGGGCGGTGGGCTGCCATGCTTCACCATTACAGAAACAGCCTGGGTTCTCTCGCGCGCAAGAGAATTCCCAACATCCCCCTGATTCCCGGAGCAGAGAAATGAAATCCACTAGGAAAACTCCAGTTTCTTTTTACGCACACACGCACACACCCGCACACCCGCACACGCAGCAACGAATGGGCGCTGGTTTCCATAGGGAAAGTGTCAGGAGTCAGGGCCACATTCGATGGTGGAGGTGGGGGGAGAGGTTAGACACCTTATCGTTGTGTGTGTGTGTCCTCTGCTCCGATCTCCGCAAACACTGGTTTTCGTTTGAAGTCGCTGTTTGCTTTGGTAACACAATCTCCATTGTCTCCTCGTCGCTGGTATATTTTACGTTTATTTTCCTGTCTGCGCTATGCGTCTTTGTAACAACATACAATCTATTATGTTTGGCAAAGTGGGGGGGGGGGGGTGGGGGGAATGGATGGGGGGTGGGGGGCGGGGCACAAGATGGGTGGTGCGATCCCTGTTTTGAGAGCAATTTTACAGGTGCCCCTTGATTTCCGGGGGTCATAATCCCCTCAACAGCAAAAAAAATTAATAATTTGGTCAGTGCTGTGCGCAATTGACTGCCGCGTTCCGCCCACAAAATGCACAGTCACTACACTTTACAGTATATCCTGTAAAGCACTTTGAGACGTCTCATTGATGCGAATAAGGCGCCATATCAAATGCAAAGTTTATTATTATTACTAACAAGGAGGCCCTTTGACTAAAGCGGAAATTTAGAAATTGTTGGTTTTGATAGCACAATCAAAGGGCACCTATAATCCCATCTCTACACACAGCTAGCACATGGTTAACACTTGGCTAGCACATGGTTAGCGCTTGGCTAGCACATGGTTAACACTTGGCTAGCACACGGTTAACACTTGGCTAGCACATGGTTAGCGCTTGGCTAGCACATGGTTAACACTTGGCTAGCACATGGTTAGCGCTTGGCTAGCACATGGTTAACACTTGGCTAGCACATGGTTAACACTTGGCTAGCACATGGTTAACACTTGGCTAGCACATGGTTAACACTTGGCTAGCACATGGTTAACACTCGGCTAGCACGTGGTTAACACTCGGCTAGCACATGGTTAACACTTGGTATGACCTTCCCACCCCTTCTCTTCCCCTCCCCAACTCCCCCATATGTTGAGTCAACAATAAGATGTAACCTCCATACAGTCTTACTCCGAAGGTGGGATATCTGAATGAACAGATACCCCCCCCATCCTTTCCAATACCCACCCCGCCCCCACTCCTCTCCTCTGCTGTAGCTGTCCCTCCAATAATAACACCACGTAGCCTCCTTGATAAATAGACCTCACTCGCTAGTTAGCAAATAAAAAACCGAAGTGGCCGGGAGAGTGAGCAGGTCAGTGGAGAGAGGAAAGTGAGTCAGAGCCGAAAGGTCATCGACCCGAAACGTTGACTCACTTTCCTCTCTCCATAGATGCTGCCTGACCCGCTGAGAGTTCCCGGCCGCTTCTGTTTCTTATTTTAGATTTCCAGCAGCTGCCGGTATTTTGCCTTTTGTCCCTCGCTCTAGTTCCCAGTTTAGAGCCGGCCAGTGGGTACTGCGATTGGCCCTGGTGAGAGAGAGAGAGACACCAGCTCCTTCCTTCCCTCCCTCCTCCCTCCCGTAGGTTTACACTCAGTTTCTAATCTCTGGTATTGCATGTCCTGGGCAGGAAAGCGTGGGCGACGCAGCAGTGCAGGATCGCTAGACAGCAATATGGAAGTAAGTAGGAAAGCAATTAATCTGTAGCTGGATGTCTGATGCATATTATATTTTTTTTTAAAAAAAGCTTTTTTGTTTTTTGCATTTTTTTTGGCTTTTTTTTCTTCCCAAAACCACCACCTCCCACCACCCCTCAGCCCATATGTAACCCGCCTGCCACATGCGTTTTATTTTATATATATATATATCTATATATTATATGCATGCATGCACTTGCTTGCCTTATGCATCTAACGCTCGCTCCCACACGCACGCATGCATGCAGTGTCCCTGCCAAAAGGCACAGTAAGCGGCTGATAGTAGAATGAGATGAATGCAGCGGAGAGAGAGGAGAGCGGGAGCTTTCTGCAACGTGTTTAATGCTGATTTAATATCGGCGCCTTTCCGGTGCTATAACACGGCAGGCATGGGGCACGGCAGCTTGGCTTCTTGTTCTGTGTGTGAGCGTATTTGTAGTTTCATTCTTTTTTATTATTGCTTTTTCTACACGATAAGGTCTCAGTCAGGGGAACTATTCCCCCCTCGTTCCCTACTCCCTTCCTTCCCCACCCCACATTGAAATGACCATCGAGCTCTTGTTCCCGAATGCTTTGTATGGAAACGCACTGAGACAGAAAACTAGTTTATAAAGAACTGAGAGTGGATTTCGTGAGATTTCATTCATCCTCAAGCATTGCCTTACCTCCCCTCCCCCCCCTAACTCCCTTCCCCTCCATCATGGTGTGTTCCCCATTGCATGGTCACTGAAAAGACATTAAACATTATTGCACTTGCTGTTTAACCAACAAGACAAATGCCTATAATGACATTGACGTTTCTTACTGTTGAATCCTCCTTCCCCCACCCCCCAACCTCTCTCTCTCTCTCTCTCTCTCTCTCTCCTATTCCCCTTTTCTCCCCCCCCCCCCCTCACGTCTGCAAGGTCTGATATCTGCCTGTTCCGGAGACAGAATCTTAATCTTGTCCCAAACTTTCTAAGTGTGGTTGGTATTGGTGGGGTGTGACTATTGGTTGGCTAACAGTGGTGGCACGAGAGGCTGGACTGTTGTTACTTAACCAGGATATCTGTGTTGACATCTCCATCTTGACCTGATGTTCACTGTAGGAGGAAGGGAGGGAGGTCACCAATTCACTTCCAAGTCGAAGGAGGAAGATTTTTCCCCTTAATTTGTGAGGTTGGGGAGTCCTTGATTTTTCTCAATTCATTCCCCCCGCCAATCTATTTGTCAAGCGGGATTTCTATACTTCACAGCAACCCTTCGACAGGATAGTGGAGTGTCCCAATGGAGTCTCCATGGCAGAGCCCAGCCTGAGATGGTGGAGGAGGGGATAATTGAAGTACAGTGTGCGGGGTGGTGGGGGGCTGCTTAGAATTGAACAGATTGAATTGGACGAGGGGGAGGTGGGTGAAGAGATGTGAGAGGAGATTGAGGTACGTTTATGCTTCGGTGGCGGCGTGCCTTCCAGAACCTTCTCGGCCGTTACGTTAAGATTCTGTCCGACGTCATTGGTGTCGTTGATCCATCCCCTGCCTTCGTTCTACAGACCGGTTCCAGACTATATTTATTTTTGCCCAGCCAGGTGTCTGAGTCACGCAGAAACCCATCACCGTTGCTTAAGAGTCTCCAACCTCACCTGAGAATTCCATGTATCCCACCTACACATGGAAATCCCAGAGATAGATTGTTGGAATGGGATGCGCTCTCTCTCTCTCTCTCTCTCCCTCCCTCCAGGACGCATCCTGCTTACCTAATTCCGGAGAGTATTAGGCACAGGTTGGCGAGAGGCAAGGCTTGGGTGGGGTGGGGGAGGTAGCCCAGAGTGTGCGTTGGGGTAACTGCTGGAGTCTGACCAGCTGACAGAATAAACCGCGGGTTCCAGACAGGAGCGTTCACTGAACGAGTGTCAGCCATCTTGGTTTGGTAACCAGAATTTCACTCATCTTCCTCAGGTAAGCTTCACGTCGTCTCCAGATCCACAACCTGTACAGCCAGCAGCTAAACTACCTCCATCATCCATCCCTCACCCAGTGCCAGTGTAGGGCAGCCCACAGCGAGGTGGTCTACTGTTAACGCTCCCTACAAGGTGTCCACAAAGTCCTGTAACCCCCCCCCACTCCATGCGTTTTTTTCTACAGTGAACTGACTAACAACCAAAACACATGGAAGAAGGATGATGATTGCATTCAGTACAAGTGCTTAACTGTATTGAGACATTCAGAGGATCAGTGTGAGTGAGTGAGCGAGCGAGTGAATGAGTGAGCGAGTGTGTGAGTGAGTATGTGTGTGAGTGATCGAGCGCCATCATATTCATGGCAAATAATGATCCATGGCCATGTTCGGTGCCACATCCACTGTAATGGCAGCTTGTTGCAGCTGCTCCGTGTCGCTGTTGTAACGGAGTAACAGGACTCAGTGGACACCCTGTAGAGTATGAGGCGTTTGGTCCAAAGAATAGATGACATGATGTTTGCCTGTTTTTAACCATTAAATCTTCCTCTCTCTCTCTCCCCCTCCCCCCCCCTTTCAGGGATCCATCATTAACAGCCCTCAGGGACCCCGCAGAGCTGCTTCCTCGCGAGGGGATTACCCAACCCGCCATCACCAGCCCTTGTCAAACTCAGCCTCCCTCCTCGGCTCCCTGTTCGGCACCAAGAAAGGCAAAGGCTCGGCCCAGGGTTACTCTGTGCCCGGCCCCTCCTCGCAGCCTCCGCTGCCCTCCCACCTCGCACAGAGCGAGGGGCAGAGCCAACCGCTCCACGCCCTGCACTCCCAGTACTGCCACCTGCAACAGAGCCAGCCATTGCCGCCCCCGTACCACCATCACCACCACTACCACCCGCCCCAGCACGCCCCCCTCTCCTACCCCCAGCACTCTCCCCACCCCCAGCACCCTCCCCACCCCCAGCACCCTCCCCACCCCCTGCACCCACCCCACCCCCAGCACCCACCCCACCCCCAGCACCCACCCCACCCTCAGCACCCACCCACCCCCAGCACCCTCCCCATCCTCAACACGTGACACATTCCCAACACGCTGCCCATTCCCAACACGCCCCCCATCCCCGCGAGCACGCGCTCCCGCACCCCCAGCACGCCACACATTCCCAGCACCCGCCCTACGTGCCGCAGCAGCAGCAGCACCCGCACCCCCCTGTGCCCATTCTGCCGCACCCCCACCCTCACCACGGACAGCCCCCCACCACTCCAGCCCCCGCCGGCACCAAGACCAAACACGCCAGCGGCATCAGCACAATCGTCTAGGGCGGGCGAGCGAGCGAGGGGAAAGGGCGTCAGAGAACGAGCGAGCCTGTGGTCACGGTGCCACACACGGCTCCGGCAACACAGAGGAGGCAACCACCGACGGACAGTCGTGCGGAGCTGAACCTGCGGACTTTAACCAACGATGGCACTCGTATTAATCTGCGTGCTCCGAGACAGCATCAGCTCCCATTCACCCCCCCCCCACACTCGAGGAACAGATTTCACACCCCATCTCCCACCCACACCCCCACCCAGAGTAACGTCACAACACACAGCTCGTCTCGGCTTTAGCTGGTTGGTTGATTTCCCCGAGAGAGAGAGAGAGAAAGACCGCCCAGTCTCACTTTGCCTTCCGTCAGCCTGGGAATGGTGGGGGTGTGGGGGGGGTGGAGAGGAGGAGAGAGAGGGAGGGTTTGACTCATGTCTCATTCCTCTCTTCCCTCTATTTGTTGGCAAGATTTTATTTCCTCATAGTAATTGTTGATGAATTCCCCTCCTATCAACCCCCACCCCCACCCACTCTCTCTTAATCACTCCTTTTTCCCCCACCCCAATTGCCCCCAAACAGACACACCCGACCCCCTGGTTATTTCAGGGCCGAGGAGCAGGTACGGGGAGAGGGGGGGAGGCAAGTGCACAATCAACTCTTAAACTTACTTGCTCTGATGATGGAGCGAGGCTGGACATTGGGGATGACGGATTTTAATAGCTTTTATGTTGCTCAGATCTCCTGATCTTTCACGCAGGTTTAAAAAAAAAACATTTACTGCACTGCGAGACGTTGATCACAGAAACTCCCAACCAACACACTTTGAAAAGTACATTTTTTAAAAAAAACACAGGTTCCTCTTTTAAGCCTCGAAAGGAAAAAAAAAGATGGTGAACAGTCAGTCGAATCCCGAACCGTGAGAATCGCAATGCACCCCTCGTATTTATTGAGTGACAGAGAGACAATGCACACACCATATCTCGCTCTTACATCACTTGGTCACTTGTTCTGTCCTTGTTTATAAAAGTGCCAACTTCAATGGAACCAACCCTTACCCCCCCCACCCAACCCCCCTCCCCACTCCCATCCCCATCCTGAAGCATTCACTGTTTTAATCTAAGTATGCTTTGTGTATGACCTGCATAGTTGACATCAAGAAGGAGGAAGGTGTGGAAAGATGTATTTAAATGATCAGTTGTTGAGGTTCGTGTGTTGAGGGCCGGTTGACTGTTGAGATTGTTGGGGCACAAAGTTTTGGGCAGTCTTTGAGGTCAGGACTACAAAGGGGGTTTGAGGGGGGAAAGGAGAGAATTGAGGCAGAAGGACACAGGGTCTAACTTGCGCTGTTTGTTAATGGATTTCTTAAATAGGAAATCCAGAATTGCCCGACACCCATGACTCCCATTTGCTGGTCTTTTGGAATTGGGTGATCAATGAGATCCGTTACCAAATCGAGACCTCAACCGCCTCCCCCCCCCCCAACCACCCCCACTCTCTCTCACACACACACACACACACATCTCCTCCCCGCCCCGGCATATTAATTTAGAAAACAACTCAGAAAAACTCTTAGGAGTTGCCCTTATCCCACCCCACAGATGGTAACTCTTAAACTAAATGTTAATCCTTGCTGCTTCTATTAGGATATGAAGTGAACTTGTGTACATATATATACACACACACATACACCCCCCATGGTGAGACATATCAACTAAAGAGAGCATTATATCAGAAAGGTGAGCACCTTTCTCTCCCCCCACCCCTGTATAATTTTCAGGATAATATGTATATATATATTTTTGCTTCAAGAGTAATGTTGTGCTCAGCAGGGCTGAGTTGAAACTAACACTGCACCCCTATCCCACCGTCATGTTCTTCTTTGATGATTTTGGTTGGAAATAAAGTGGGGGGTGGGGGGGTGCGGGGGCGGGCAAATTGTAGTAACTATTCAATAATTAAATGAAGGAACCTCCTCTCCCCCCACCCACCACCCACTCCCCCTCCCTCACTTGTAGACCAAATAGCGAGATGAAGTTTGTAGAGTAACTGTTCCAAGCTGTGAGGACCTCAATTTGGGAGGGGGATAAAATGCAGGGGGTGGGGAGGAGGGGGGTGGGTTAGAGTTATCAGACTCTTTATCTATAACTATCATTACCAGACATTTAATACCAGCAAACTAATGAACTGAGCACTTTTTTTTAATTAAAAGCAGCGCTAGCCAGCAAATATAGAGTTTAGCCTCTCCCCCCCGCCCCCCCCCCCTCTCTCTTTCTCTCCCTCCCGCCCGCCCCGCCCTCTCCCTCCCTCCCTTCCCCCTTGTATTTTACTTTTATTTTAGGTTTGTTATGTGCAATACACGTCTCTCTCTTGTGATGTATTGAGGAAACGCCTGGTCTGGTATATTAATCACTGGAATGTTTGGGACTGTGACGTTCGAATGCACGGAGTCAGCCTGACATTCCCACCCACCCCCACCCACTCACCCACCCACCCACTCTCCCAAGGACAAAGCCCCCTTCCCCCACCCTCCCTCACTTTGCTCCCCACCTACTTCCCCGAGGCTCTGTTCCTTGTAGTATCTAGAATGATGTATTCTCGATAGATCGATCTCTCTTGCATGCCATTCCATGTCAATAGCGTTCAGACGTTACATCTTGTATATTTGCAGAATCTCTATCAGTGTTACTGTTGACATTAAATATAGCCAGAGGTGAAAGTGATCACATAACTAAAATCATTGGACCTTTCCTTCTTAATACTTCTGTAACCGGCAAAAAAAATAAACTATTAGCCTAACTGTAATCTAAAAAGACGGTTCCAAAAAAAAAGAATCTGGATGGAAATTATATTTAATTAAAAAAAAATAGCATAGTGGGGATGAGAGTCGGAGTTTCACTTCTAGAAGGATGTCAGTGTCGCTTAGTGATGGAGGGCTTTGGTCTGTTACATGTTGCTGTGCACACGCATTGTTTTTGAAATGATTGTTGTAAATAAAATTGTATTAAATTGGGAAATAGTGTCCCACTACTTTTTTTTATTTGTGCTCTTTCCGCCTCCTCCTCCGCTCCACACCCCCTCTGCCCCCGCCCCGCAGCTTTTATTAGTATAGCAGTAATAACCTTGCATTCGATCTCGCGCCTTATCACGTCTGCGAGACGCCTCGAAGCGCCTCACGGAATATACTGTAAAGTGAATGTTTCGTGGGCTTTTATTTGTCGTGCTCCTGATCTTTCAAGGAGGGTTAGAGGGAGGCGATGTGAAGCAGGTGTGTTAAACACTTGCCACACGCACTCTGTCTCTCTCGCTTCACACACAAGTGATTGCCAAAACCCACAGAATGTAGAATTTGCAAAGCGTCTTGTCAGCTCGCCCACGCCCAATATGCAGGCCGGATCTTTTCTGGAATCAACTCTTGACGTGTAAGTTTACACTTTTTTCTATTGATCGGCACAAAAAAAAAACTTAAATCATGAGAAGTATGATATTTTTAATATAAAAAACACAAATTATATTGAGATAGGACCAGTTTGTGTATTGACTTGGCTGCAGTGTAATGCTTGCATTTCGAGCAAAAACACAGCACAAATCAATCCAAAAATCCTGCACAATGTTAAATAATCCTAAATAATCCCTCCGTTTGGTACAGCGCCTTTGGGAGGGCGTCTCGAAGCTCCTCACAACGACGACAACAACAACAAGATTGCATTTATAGAGCGCCTTTCACGTCGGGAGGACGTCCCGAGGCGCTGGGATCTACTGTAACGCGGAGTGACTGTGTTCTGTGAGCAAACGGAAAAACAAATCTCAAGGTGGTGTGAAATTTTGGGTTTGTTTCTTCCCCCCTCCTCACCCCCCACCCACACACACACACACGCACACACCGCGTTTGGTCCAGTCACTCGCTGCGTGCAGGAGAAGCCCCTAATGTGACAACAAAACCGAATGAAACGTTGGCAAATTATAAAGCAAAATCTTACACGGTGTTGAACTTCCTGTCTCCCGTCAAATCTCGGCGTTCACCCGTTGCTCGGCAAAGCACTCAGGTACTCATCACACATCGGTCTTTCGGCAATAACCATCTCTGATCCGGGAAAATTGCAGACAACCACGGAAACTGCCGATGTTTCTAAGAATGGAACAGAACCATATCCGCTGGGCAGGGACGAGGGGAGGGAGCAGGGCTCACTGCTCCCACATACAACTGTCAATTAGCCTTTGAGGATCACATTCCTTCTTCCACAATTGCCACCGGGTGACTGATTGATTGATTGATTGATTGATTGATTGATTGATTGATTGATTGTATGTTTGCTGACCCCCCCCCCTCCCCCAACGAGCTCTCGTGAATATGACTTTGTAAATCGTCAGATGCCTTTGCCGCCGTCTCATGCAATTACTGTTCTATATATGTACAGTAATATACATATATATATATATAAACCCACTCACCAGACATTTTGTGAGGAAAGGCACAGAAGAGAGGATCAAATTAATCATAAATTTAAAAAAAATCAAACTCAAGTTTGCGCCCCCCCCGCCCAAAAAAAAATAAAAGGCCTTTTCTTTTTACCTTTGAAACTCCTACGAGTATCTTTAAGGGCTTACGCTCGCGTTTGATGCATACGGTGCCCACGCCTCCGTGAGTTGTCTCACACGGACCTGCCCGTCGAGTGTAGTGACTGTCTCATGCAGACAGAGGAAAAATAAAGCCGGAATCAATTTTGTTGGTTGGGGGGGGGGGGGGACAGCACACTGGGAGATAAACTCTCCGCTCTTTTCCAATAGTCACTCAATCTTTAATGACGACGACAACAACAACAACAACAACATGGCATTTGCACAGCGCTCTTCACGTCCATTGAACAGGTGCAGATGGTGTAAGGTTGAAGGACGATGGCATCACTGACAACACAGCTGTTTCGCTCTCCCCCATTCCCCCACCCTGCACCCACCCCCGCCCTCTCGCCCCACCCCCCACCCTGCACCCACCCCCCGCCCTCTCGCTCCCCACCCCCCACCCTGCACCCACCCCCGCCCTCTCGCTCCACCCCCCCACCCTGCACCCACCCGCCCTCTCGCTCCCCACCCCCCCCCTGCACCCACCCCCCCGCCCTCTCGCTCCCACCCCCCCCTGCACCCACCCCCCGCCCTCTCGCTCCCCCCCCCCCACCCTGCACCCACCCCCCGCCCTCTCGCTCCCCACCCCCCCACCCTGCACCCACCCCCCGCCCTCTCGCTCCCACCCCCCCCACCCTGCACCCACCCCCCCGCCCTCTCGCTCCCCACCCCCCCACCCTGCACCCACCCCCCGCCCTCTCGCTCCCCACCCCCCACCCTGCACCCACCCCCCCGCCCTCTCGCTCCCCACCCCCCACCCTGCACCCACCCCCCCGCCCTCTCGCTCCCCACCCCCCACCCTGCACCCACCCCCCCGCCTCTCGCTCCCCAACCCCCACCCTGCACCCACCCCCGCCCTCTCGCTCCCCACCCCCACCCTGCACCCACCCCCCGCCCTCTCGCTCCCCACCCCCCATCCTCCCCCACTCCCTGCCCTCGGGCCGAGGAGGCTGGGGGCGGGGCCGGGGTGGCTGTGGGCGGGGCGGGGAGGCTGTGGGCGGGGCGGGGGAGCCTGTGGGCGGGGCGGGGGAGCCTGTGGGCGGGGCGGGGGAGCCTGTGGGCGGGGCCGGGGAGGCTGTGGGCGGGGCCGGGGCTGGCCGGGGGGCGGGGCCGGAGCTGGGGCGGTGCTGCCCCCCTGGTGGCTGGAGGCCGCAGTGGAGCCGGGGCCTGGGTTATGGCGGTCGCTGCCGGTCTGTCCCGCCTGTCGGGGTCTCGGTGGCTCGCGGCCTCGGGCTGGAGCTGGTGCCGGAGCCGCCGCGGCTTCAGGAGCCACAGCCCGTGTCTGGCCTTCGCCAAAGAGCTGTTCCTGGGGACAATCAACCAGGTCAGGCCCGGCCCGGCCCCGCCCGCCCCGCCCGCCCCGCCCGGCCCCGCCCGCCCGGCCCCGCCCGCCCGCCCCGCCCGGCCCTGCCCGCCCCGCCCGGCCCTGCCCGCCCCGGCCCGCCCGCCCGCCCCGCCCGGCCCGCCCCGCCCGGCCCGCCCCGCCCCGCCCGGCCCCGCCCGGCCCCGCCCGGCCCGCCCGGCCCCGCCCGCCCCGCCCGCCCGGCCCCGCCCGCCCGCCCGGCCCCGCCCGGCCCCGCCCGCCCGGCCCCGCCCGCCCGGCCCGGCCCCGCCCGCCCGCCCGCCCGCCCGCCCGGCCCCGCCCGCCCGGCCCGGCCCCGCCCGCCCGGCCCGCCCGGCCCCGCCCGCCCGGCCCCGCCCGCCCGGCCCGCGGGACACCCCGGGGGGGAGAGGGCGCCCCCTGGGGGTGAGAGTCAGGGAGTGACTCACCCCCCCACCCCCACCCCCACCAGGGGATAAGGAGGGTGGGGAGTCATCCCCTCGGTGTAAGGGGGGGGGGGGTGGGGAGTGTCCCCTTTGGTGTAAGGGGGGTGGGGAGTGATCCCCTTTGGTGTAGGGGGGGGGGGAGTGTCCCCTTTGGTGTAAGGGGGGGGTGGGGAGTGTCCCCTTTGGTAGTAAGGGGGGGTGGGGGTGGTTTGGGGAAATACCCCTTGGGGTTGGGGGTGTTGCTGAGTGCCCGTGAGCGGTGTGTTGCATTGTCAGAGCGCTCCCCAACCCCCCCCCCCCCCCCCCCCCCCTGTGTGCGCGGGCCGGTGTGTCGGAAAAGGATCGGATTGGGATCGGGAAGGAGTGAAGGCAGATCTGAGGACTGACACAGCTCTGTGTGTGTTTCCCCCCTCGACAGAAGGAGGTTTTTCCGTACCCGGAGATCAGCAAGGAGGAACTGGAGGAGATAACCCAGCTGGTGGCCCCCGTGGAGAGGTTTTTCAAAGAGGATGGTGCGTGTGCCTCTTGAGTGGAGCGTAAGGTGTCGCACAAATGGGGGGGCGCGGGAGGGGGGAAGTACCCCCAAAGTGCTCTCTCTGCCAACCGTGGCCTCACCAGCCTCGTCCGTTGGCAGCAATTGTCTTGTCCTAATCCGTATGGACTCCTGTAACTCAGCGGTTGGAGCGCTCGCCTCGTGGAGTCCTGTAACTCAGCGGTTGGAGCGCTCGCCTCGTGGACTCCTGTAACTCAGCGGTTGGAGCGCTCGCCTCGCAAGCGAGAGGACCTGGTTTTGACTCTCGATAAGGGTGAAACGTTGGCCAGGTTTCCTGACTCTGCTCTGATTTCTCTCCAGTTGATTCCAAGAAGATTGACGCGGAAGCGAAGATTCCTGCGGAAACATTGAAGGGGCTCAAAGACCTGGGGCTGTTTGGGCAGCAGATCCCCGAGGAATATGGTGAGAGCGGAGAGGGTCATGCAGTTTGTCTTCCACGTTCGCCTAGAAATGCACAGTCATCACTGTGTGTGGGGGTGTTGTGCGTGGGCGGTGTGTGTGTGGCCGCAGTGTTGTGACGTGTGTGACTGTGTGTGTGTGTGTGTGTGTGGCCTCAGTGTTGGTGACGTGTGTGTGTGTGTGACTGTGTGTGTGTGTGTGAGACTGTGTGTGTGTGACTGTGACTGTGTGTGTGTGGCCGGAGTGTTGGTGACATGACTCTGTGTTCCCCTGCAGGTGGCCTGGGCCTGTCTAACACCATGTACGCGAGGCTGGGGGAGGTCATTTCCTTGGACGCCTCCATCGCTGTCACCCTGGCTGCACATCAAGCCATAGGCCTCAAGGTAACGGATGTCGGAGTAGTGCTGTGTGTCTGGTCAGGTTTGAGGGTCAAAACTGAAGTAGTACTCATCTTCCGGTCGGGGCCTGAAGACCTTCCTCAGGCTCGGGTCGTGCTCTGCCTCGGTCAAGCGCACTGGGAGGCCACCGCTGCACAAGGGCCGGGCTGCTGTGCAAACCGACCGCGATCCATTCCTTCTTGAGGCAACGATTATTAAAGCACGTCCCTCCCCCCGTCTCCCCCTCCCTCCCCAGTTTGGCAGGGCCTGAGCCAGGACGGGCTGTAACTGTCATTAAAATTAAGTGTAAAAATCCTTGCCTTTGACATATAGGGCCTTATCGCGTTGTGGAGACATCACAAAGCACTTCACAGGATAGACTGTAGTTGCGCACAACCGAGTCCCACAAACAGTCGCGGAGTCAGCGACCGATTTATTTGGGGTTGACTTTTTATGACGGGTTGAAAGGCGGCAGCGACTGACTGAGGGTTTACCTCTCTTGTTTCAGGGAATCCTGATCGTGGGCACGGATGAGCAGAAAGCCAAGTACCTGCCGAAGCTAGCGACCGGCGAGCACGTCGCAGCCTTTTGCCTCACAGAACCGGGAAGGTAAGGAGCAGTCAGCCCTCGGGCCAACACCAGGTCACTGGGAGTGCTCGCTGCTCCTCTCCCGGAGAGGCAGAAGGGAGGGACTTGGGTTTGCCTTCGTTGGAAGGACGGGACCTCTGACAAAGTCAAGCAGTTTGCGATTCACTTACAAGCTCCCCGGTCCCAGCCGCTGTGTGTGTGTGTGTGTGTGTGTGTGCGTGTGTTAAGTGACCTGTGTTCTGCGTGTGTTTCAGCGGAAGCGACGCTGCATCCATCCAGACCCGGGCAGTGCTGAGCGAGGACGGAAGCCACTTCCTTCTGAACGGATCAAAGGTGAATCGAGGTCACTTTAACACCGTGTCGTGGGTTTACGTTTGAGATTGCAGCTGTGAAATAGTGCGGGGGGAAGGGGGACGGTGGAACCGTGCTTTGCACGACTGAAGATCTTTCTCGTCGACCGTGCTTACGGTCCCCACCCAACACCCCCCGGCTCGGAGTCAGGCTCCGCCAATGTTAAGTGCTTCAAGTGCAGGGTAGCGTCCCAGAACGCTTGATCCATCCAGAGTGTGGTTCGCGCAGAATGAGTCTCGAAGCGCTTCACAGAGCCGGTGCGTGACCTGAGCAGAGCGGGGAGGCCAGCCGAAGGCACGGGCAGAGAGTGAGCATTTTTACGAGGCTTTTTTGAAGAGAAGAAGGAAAAAAGAGCCTTTTGGGGGGAAATTTGGAATTTAACTTAATAAGCGGTCGAGGTCTTAGAACAGATACGGGCAGCTCGTATTACATTTTACAATTGTGGAGTCCTGTAGCTCAGTGGTTAGAGCACTCGCTTTGCAAGCGAGAGACCTGAGTTCAATTCCAGGCAGAGGGCGAAACCTTGGGCAAGTTTCCTTACTCCACACAGAGCCTAATAATAATCCCTCCAAAACCAAAAACAATAATAAATTGGTCATTTTCAATCTACGACACTTTGTGGGACATTATTGCTGTGTGCAATTGGCTGCCGCGTTCGCCCACAAATATACAGTCAATTCACTTTACAGTGTGTTCTGTGAAGCGCTTTGGGACGTCCTCCCGACGTGAAAAGCGCTATATCAAATGCAACGATTATTATTATTGTTTTACCCCCCACACACACACACAACATTTCAACTAGCAAACAACGCTGAATCTTAACATTTGCAGCGATTGTTTTGTCCAGTGTCGAGAACGCAAAAAAGTGAAACTTGTTTTTGTAGCTGGCAAGGGGACTTTGACCCTCTCTTCCACAAGTACATTCCTCGCTGTGCTGACACGGGGTGTGTGCGTGTGCAGGCAGGGCACACGCTGCCCTAATGTCCTGATTGCATTGGCCGCTCGCACTATATCACTGAACCTTCTCACTAGTCACTGGCAAAATGCCTCTCTTCCCCTCCCCCCCCCCCCCCCCAGCTTTAGAGGAATGTAAAGCAGTCCTGTAGTGTAGTGGTTAGCGCTCTCACCTCGCAAGCGAGAGGACCCAGGTTCGATTCCCAGGTGGGGCAAAACCTTAAGCAAGTCTCCTTACTCCAGACACATGCCTCTGTTTACTTAGCAGTAAGTTGTTAGTCGATTGGCAACTCGCTTTCCGGGGGTAATTATCCCTTGAAAAAAATTTGGATCCTGTCAAAAAAAATAAGAAGAATTTTGTCACTTAATCCACAACTGTTTGTGTGACGCTGCTGTGTGCAATTGGCTGCTGCGTTTCAGGTACAAAACATACAGTCACTACACTTTGATATTTTCTGTGAAGCGTTTTGAGACGTCTCAACGACGTGATAAGGCGCTATATCAAATGCGAGGATTATTATATTATTTACAGATCTGGATATCTAATGGTGGGATTGCAGAAGTCTTTACCGTGTTTGCACGAACGGAAGTGGTTGACAAAGACGGCAAAACGAGCGATAAGATCACGGCCTTCGTGGTGGAGAGGCAGTTTGGTGGAGTTACCAACGGGAAGCCCGAGGACAAGCTGGGAATCCGAGGGTCTAACAGTAAGCGGTGGCTGAGTGAACTCCACCCCACAGTCCTTTCGCCTCTCCTCCTCCCTCGCCTCCTTCAAGGACCATCTCAAGATCCTCCTCTTCAACCACACCCTCGGTCACCCTCCTACACACGCACTGGAGGGTGGAGGCCCTCCACCCTTCCCTGATCTCAACCCCCAGCTTGGGTCCAAATTCCTAACTGTCCAGCGCCTTGGGTTGTCCTCCCCATGTGAGAGACAGGAGCCGTGAAAATGTCATTTGTGGTTGTTGTTGTTGTTATTGTTAAAGAGGAGTTGATCGGGGACCTGATAGAGGCCTTGAAAACACTGAGAGGTCACTCACTTGACCGACGAAGAGGGACGGATGTTCTGCGGGAGTAAGTTTGGCAAAGCTGAGCTTCGGCCACAGAGAAATATTCCTCTTTGTTGCTGAAATCTAACACTTCCCGTTAATCCACTCTGGATCAGCAGAGAGGGAACCAGGGCCAAAGAAGCCCCTTCGGCTCAATGTGATCTCATCTTCCCAGAATCTCCACCCTTCCAGTAACTTGTCAAGAGCATCCAGCTGTTTTTTACATTATTGCGTCTTAGCTTCAATCCCCTTTCCTGGTAACCCTGTATTCCAGCTGTTGATTCCTTCCTCTGTGTAAAGAAATCCTTTACTGTCTGTCCTAACCTCGCCTCTCCCTGACACCACTTGTCTGGCTGCCACTTTATTTCCTCAGGATATTTTCCCATTGATGGTGGGGTTTGAGTTGGGAAGCCTGTCGGGTTTTTAACAGCACCACTTTTTCATTCGAGCGTCACTGAAAGTCGTTACCCCCGCAGGCTTGTCCTGTGTGTTCACCGTGTTTGCTGCCGGGAGGATGAGGAGATTAACAGCTCCTCTTCCCCAGTTGTGTGGCTGTGCAAAGGCGAAGTCTGAGAGGTTCCAACGGGATATCGGAGCCGACAGTGAAATGGGTCCTATGGTGCATTTCTTTCTCTTGAGCAGTATAATTACCCTCATATTCCATCGTGGGCCCAGTGTGTGATGTGTTAACCCTATAACCCTCGCCTGCCTCGCTGCACACTGAGCCTGATCGCCAATTGCCGTAAATGTGCTCGGTGCGGAATTGACGTTTGACCTTTTGCCTTGTGTCTTTCGCAGCGTGTGAGGTGCACTTTGAGGACACCAAAGTGCCGCTAGAAAATGTCCTGGGAGAAGTTGGGGGCGGATTTAAGGCGAGTCTTTTCCACAGTTAGGAACAAAATGATGACATTTCATTGACTTGACATGTCTGGGGTGAGTGGGGTGAGTGGGTGTGGGTGTGACGCTGTGGGTGCTGGGCTGGGCTTGGCTCTGGGGTGTTTGTTGTCTGGGGTGGGATTTGGAGTTGGCAGGCGTGTGTGTGATTGTACAAGTATATCAAAAGGAAAAATGTAAATGTTGACGACGGTGATGGCGGTGGGGGGGAAGAAGAGGGAGAGGGGATGAGGCCGAACGTACAGCTCTTTCACAGAGTTCCCCCCTCCCACCCTCACTCACTCACTCTTTCACTCTCTCCCACAGGTGGCCATGAAGATCCTAAACAGTGGGCGATTCAGCATGGGCAGTGCTTCTGCCGGCATGATTAAGCAGCTGATAGGTGAGCAATCTGTGCTCGTGGTCCTTTGTATATAAGTGGGAAAAACCTGTCTGGACACTCAGCTGAACAACGGTGAGATCTCCTGTCAGTGGTGGGGGGGTGGCGACAGAGCAGGGAACGGGATTAGAGGTTAAAGAGGAAGATCGTCAGGTGTGATCTCAAGACGAGGCGAGGAGGAGGAATTCAGGCAGAGAAATCTAAAGAGGCGTAGTGGCTGAAAGCACGACCGAGGGGACGAGGGACATGCCAAAGAGCGGAAGCAGTCGAGCGGAGGCGGCAGGTAGTGGAGTGGGGAGAGAGCAGGTCGGGGAGAGATAAGGAGGTGATTGATGATCCTAACTACACCCTGACGATTCCCCCTTTGTGTTTGTCCATCTCCAGCGATGACATCGGAGTACGCCTGCACACGCAAACAGTTTGACAAGAATCTGAGTGATTTTGGAATGATTCAGGTACGTCCATCGATTTATTCTTCTGTTGAGCGCGAGCGAATCACTGGTGCTCGTGAGCACGAGGCCAGCCAAGCCCCTGGTGAGAGTCACTAAAACAAACTGGACGTTCGTCTCATTACATCTCATTGGAGCCCCGTATCGAATTGGTTAGACCTGGGTTTGATTCCCAGGTCAGGGCGAAACCTTAGACAAGTTTCCTTACTTACACACACACACTGTTTACCTAACAGTGAGTAGGAATCCGCTTGTTAGTTGATTGGTGGATCGCTTTCCAGGGATAATAATCCCTTCCAACAAAATAATAATTTGGTTGCTCAATCCACGGTTGTGGGACACTGCTGTGTGCAATTGGCTGTCAGGATTCGCCCACAAAATACACAGTCAATCTACTGAGCGAGCAGAGCAGCGTGGTTCCTATCTCAGTTACGGTAACGTCTCTCTCTCTCTCTCTCTCGCAGGCCAAGTTTGCACTGATGGCCCAGAAAGCCTATGTGATGGAGAGCATGGCTTACCTGACAGCAGGAATGCTGGATCGCCCCGGAGAGCCCGACTGCTCGCTGGAAGCCGCCATGGTTAAGGTACACATACTCCTCAGTGCCAGAGAAGAAATTAGTTTTATTATTACAGCCTTCCTGATAACTCAGCACTACAGGAGGGGAAAGGAGTGATTCAGTGACGAGTTATCAGGAGCGGCGAGTTAAGCAAATGTACAGGGTGACCAAAAAGTTGTGATACCATTGCAGTGTCTAATAAGTCTTTCGGAAATAATGATAAATATTTTTTTTCAGATAATTATTATTAAAATAAATGGTATCGCCACTTTTTGGTCAACTTGCATAATAAAATGTGGCCATGAAATTGACAGTTTGATGACTTAAGTGGCAGTGACAAGTTAAGCCAGGGTTGAATTATCAGGAGTTTATACTTTACGTGACATTTGAGAAGTAGAAACGAACACGTCTTAGTGTCCCAATTCCCGTTAGACCCCAGCGGCTGACTGACCTCTCCCCTGCTCTCGGCCTCAGGGTAGCGGATGTGAGTCCTCTCTTATTGAGGGTGGTTTCAGACTGAATTTGCCTTTGCCTCAGGTATTCAGCTCGGAGGGAGCGTGGCTGTGTGTGAGTGAAGCTCTGCAGGTTCTCGGTGGTCTGGGCTACATGAAGGAGTACCCTTACGAGCGTTACCTGCGGGACGCCAGGATACTAATGATTTTTGAGGTAAGCCTAAACCCAATCCTGGCCCCCCCCCCACCACGTGAAACTTCGGTGGTGCTGTGCAACCAGAATAAATGAGCCCAATCTGTACCCACTTTGTCTGTTCCACAAGAAGAGTCCTGGAGTGTCGTGGTGAGGACGCTCGCCGTGCAAGCGAGAGGACCCGGGTTCGATTCCCGGTCGGGGCTAAAGCTTAGCCTCTGTTTACCTCTCAGTAAGTAGGAACCCGGTTGCTAGTTGTAAGTTTGCGCTTTGAGACATCTCAACGACGTGATAAGGCGTTATACGCAATGCAAAGATTATTATTATTATTATTCAGTTACTCGCCCACTTCCTGCTCAGCGCAGTGTAGACACGGACCACACTGAGTGGCATAATTGTGGTTGCTTTCAAAGGCACCTTCCACCTGCACCATCTCCAGCTCAGCTCTCTCACCCACTAATAAACCCTCCGGCAGAGCAACAGCATAACCACCACCATCATCATCATCATCAGTCTCACAGCGGGCAGGGGTCCTGCCGGGGGATCCTGGCCCGTCCTAATAGCTGAACTTGTTGACGACAATCGTTTGGTCTTCCACATACAACAGCCCGTGCTGCAGAGATGCCATCATTTAAGGCATATGTTAAGCCCGAGTTAAAATGTTTTCAGTGCATGTTTCACCCACGAAACATACAGTCAATTCACTTTACAGTGTATCCTGTGAATCACTTTGAGACGTCTCAAAGACGTGATCAGGCGCTGTGTCAAATGCCAGGATTATTATTATTCTGATGAGCGAGACTTGATTTCAAGGTTTCAAGATACCCCGTTGCACGTGAGGATGGGAATCGGTGTGGGATGGTTTGACCTCCACACTGAGCAAATAAGTCAACCTGTCCACCAACCTGCAGGACACTGACCTGTTGGCTCTCGTCACTAAGTGTTGGGGACCCATTGTCAGACTGAGTGCTCGGTCTGGCCCACAGGTGGCACTCTCACCATTGGGTCAGAAGGTCAAGAAAGAGAGAGAGGCCCACATTGGGTATTTGAGCTCATAATAATAATCTTTACATTTGGTACAGTTGGGAGGACATCTTGGGAGAGCTTCACAGGTTATATTGCAAAGTGTAGTGACTGTGTGTTTTGTGGGCAAAGATTTCGCTCTACTTTGGTGGGGGGGTGGGGGGGGCGTGGGGTTTGGAGACCAGCACCAGCATAGGCTCGATCGGCAAATGTCCTCATCGTGTTCTGTACTTACACCGATCTGTGAATTGACTGCCTCGGTTTAGACCTTTGGCCGGTGGTTGTTTGTTGTGCTTTAAATCCTCGTGTCGATGGCTTCCTGTGTTACAGGGAACAAACGAAATCCTGCGGATGTACATAGCTTTAACAGGAATGCAACACGCTGGCAAACTGCTGACTGGCAAGATCAAGTGAGTGGACATTGTGTAAGCTCGGCACTGAGATTCTTCTATTTAACATGACACAAATGACTTGCAAAGGTCTCCCAGCCTTTACATGCAATTAATGTCAAGCAGAGTGATTGGGGGGTGGGGGGGGAGGGGGGGGTGACATTGTCAGAGTGCTCAGTCTGGCTCCGAAACTCTGGAACATTCCCCCAGTCTCTCCACCTTCCCCCACCTCATTCCCATCTTCAGGTCGTGCCTGAAGACCTTCAAAGATCTTTGCCTGTGCCTACAGTCACCTTCCCCCCCCCCACCCCCCCGGCTCAGCATCGTGCTCCCGTCACTGTCGAGCGCTCTGGGACTCTGCTCTGCGTGAGGGGTGCTGTGTAAATGCACGTTGTTGTTGGGAAACCCGGGCAGTTTGGTCCTGACGTGAGTACTTTCTTTGCAGACAGATGAAGAAAGGAAACGTGGCGATAGCGCTTGGGATCTTGGGGAAGAGATTGGCCGATTCTCTACGCACCAAAGTGGACCTGGGGCTGACGGGCAAGGACAGTGTGGTGCACCCCAGCCTGGAGGTAGGGGGTCAAACCGCACTTGGGGAGTGGGGAGGGAAGGGAGAGGGGTCGCTCGTTCCGTTCATGCAAAGCTGTTCCGGGAAGGTGTTTTAGCTTTGATCATTTTTGTTTTTTTAGTTGTGAGCTCGGAGCTTTACGGGGAGGAGGGGGAGGGGGAGGAAGTCAATGCAAACAAAAAGCGTGGTGGGGGTGTGTGGGGGCGAAATGTATTAAATGAAACGTATGTTTGATCCGAATTAAGATGTTACCGCTTCACAAACGACACTGTTCTGAATTTGAACCGGAAAATCGACAGCTTTTCCAACATAATAATAATAATCCTCTCATTTGATACGGCGCCTTATCACATCTTCGAGACGCCTCAAAGCGCTTCACAGGATGCACTGTAAAGTGGAGTGACTGTATTTTGCGGGCAAAACCCGGCAGCCAATTGCGCACGGCAGCGTCCCCACAAACAGTCATGGATTGAGTAACAAAATTATTATTGTATGTTTTTTTGGAAGGGGTTATTGAACAGGTAGAGGTGCTCATGCTTTTCACGCGGTTAGCTCAGCCCCAGATTAGAGTCCATGGAGGCAAATTGAGGTGCTTGAACATTGAGTGACTTTTATTGCAGAATTGGTTTGTTTTCCCCACAGCAAAGTGCCAAAGCACTGGAGGAGAACGTGTATTACTTTGGATCGACGGTGGAGAACCTGTTGTACAGATTCGGCAAGGTAACTTGCACTGCACCTTCCCGCAGACCCTGTTTGAGAGCGGTCATGGGGACGGAGGGAGGGAGAGAGAGAGCAGGGAATGGGATTAGAGTAGAGCTCTCCTCACTCTCTCTCACCCTGCTCTCGCCCCTCTCTTTCTGTTTCATTCTCTGTCTCAGACTGTGGTGGATGAGCAGTTGGCACTGAAGAGAGTGGCTGACGTCATCATTAACATCTACGCCATGACCGCGGTGATCTCGCGAGCGAGTCGCTCCATCAGCATCGGCCTCCGCAACCACGACCACGAGGTACAGCCCTACTCTGTGCCATAGCTTGTCACACTGGGTGGGGGGGGAGGGGGGGCAGAGAGCGGCCAGCTATTTCCTCGTGATGTCCCAAAGCGCTGGACAGGTACAAACCCTTGACTGCCCACAGCCTTGGGACGTCCTGACATGAAAGGCACTGTGTAAATGTCATTTGTTGATGTTGACGTCGTGTTCCAGGAACTTTTCCAGATGTTCTCTCTCTCTCTCTCTGCAGGTTTTACTTGCCAACAGCTTCTGCACTGAGGCCCATTTCCGGAACAATTATCTCCTGGCTCAGCTACAGAAATGTGAGTTTGTCTTCCCTGGTCACCATCTCTGTCACTGAGGTCTGTGCGAGTGTGAGCAAGTGAGTGTGAGCGAGCGAGCGAGTGTGAGCGAGTGCTGCTGAGAGATCCTCTCTGCGAGATAAATATTCTTACTTTCTGTGTTCATGAAGTAGTGGAGGAGGAAGGTTTTGATATCATCTTCCACTCCATGACTGTTTGTGGGGACGCTGCTGTGCGCAATTGGCTGCCGCGTTTCGCCCACAAAATACACAGTCAACTCACTTTGCAGTATATTCTGTGAAGCGCTTTGAGACGCCTCTGAGATGGATATGATAAGGCGCTGTATCAAATGCCAGGATTATTATTATTATGCTCAACTCTGAGCCAAACTTGGGAACACATTCTGTGAGGATGTAGGAGGAGATTGAATGGGGACAGAGGGGTCTTGTTCATCCCAATCTCTCCTGTGATTCTTTTGAGCGTCTCCCACAGACGCAGTTAGGCGTGAAGCGTCTGTGGCGGGGAGTGTGCATCTGATCGAGTGCTCCTCACCAGCGCAGTGCGCGGCACATTGTAAGCGCTCTGGGTCGCTATTCCGTGCGACCGGCACCTAAATCGGTGCAAATTGTTGTTGCTGCTGTTGTGAGGCACAGAAGCCAATGGAGGTTCATCTTTCTCTTTCATGTTAGACGCTGCTGAAAATACAGACGACGCCATCAAGAAAATAGCTCAGCAGGTGCTGGAGAACCGAGCCTATATCTGCTCACACCCACTAGAAAGGACATTCTAGCAGCTCTGCGTCCCATCACGTTTGAGTGTGGTGGTTCATGTGCGAGGTGGGAGCTCGAACTCAGAAGCTGAACAGAAACTGTGAAGAGTGAAGTTAATTGAAAGGCTGATTTATCTAAATTTTTAACAAGGTGATGGTGTCGTTACTGGTGGGTGGGGAATGGTAGCGGTGGGGGGGGGTGTGGAGAAGTGGTTCTAAAGTCACATTGCTATCCCTTTGTACATTACATAAAGTGCTTTTAATTCCAGGTGCGATTCCCCTCCCCAAAATATATCAGCACCTGATTATTTCTAATCATCTTCATAATATAATGCTCTGCTCGTTACCTCATTGATTTCGGTTCATTGGGGGAAAAAACCCACAAAGTGCCGTCCGCTGGTTTACAGAACAGGAGAGTAATTCATCTCGCTCTCTCTCTCTTTCTCACCCTCTGCTTTCCGCTCTCCCCCCACCCCCCACCCCACAACACTCACTCACAGACAAAATAAAAATAACCCGGCTTGGATTGGTACTGAGTGTCGGTTGGTCTGAACCGGGCTTGAGTGCGTCAGGTCAGGCCTGCGCTGGCTCAGGACGTCTGGGTCTCACTGAGCCCAGCACGGCCCCTCTCTGGTCATGGCAGGAAGCACGGCCGGGCTGGGGGTGACCTCCCGGAAGGTGAAGAGATGTGTCCTGAGCTCCTCCTTGGTCAGTGGCTTGAGCCGTGGCTGGTAAACGTAGGACTTCTGTCTCCAGAGCAAGCTGTGGGGAGGGAGAGCGACACACGGTCAAGTTCATCAGTATCCCACAGGCACCTCCGCCTCGCTCCCTCCCTTGTCTCCTTCAAGACCCTCCTCTTCGACTGCACCTTCTGTCACCCGCCTACCCTACCCCCCCTGCCCTCCATCCCTCCTGAGCCCAACCACCAGCTCAGGTCCAAATCCCTGACTGTCCAGTGCCTTGGGACGTCCTTCTGACATGAAAGGCGCTGTGTAATTAATGTGTGATTGTTGTGAAGTCCGCACCAAAGCCATTGTAAGATCTGACGTTGCGTTCCTTAAACGCGTCCCCCGTTTCCTCATGAAAGACGGTGCTTGACGTTTCTGCTTCCCTCCAGGGAGAGAGATTGCACATCCCATTCCATCCCAACAATCTCCAGGATTTCCATGTGTAGGTGGGAGGCATGGAATTCTCAGGCTGGTTGGAGACTTTAAAACGGTGACGGTTTTCCGTGTGTGTCAGACACCCGGCCGGTCACGGTGACGGGTTTCCATGTGTGTCAGACACCCGGCCGGTCACGGTGACGGTTTTCCGTGTGTGTCAGACACCCGGCCGGTCACGGTGACGGTTTTCCGTGTGTGTCAGACACCCGGCTGGTCACGGTGACGGGTTTCCGTGTGTGTGTGTCAGACGCCCGACTGGTTAAAAATATCCATACATTTCTGAACAGTTTTTAGAGCCGAGAAAAGTCTTTGACAAAACTAAATCTTTTTCCCCCCGACAACACACCAACAGATCCCGCGCCCTACCCCTGTGGGTTTGTTTGGGGGTGGGCTTGCGGGAGCCGGGGAGAGAGCTTACTTGAAGTCGTGGCCTTTGAGCTCGGCGTACTTGCGGTGCTCCATGTTGTGCCTGGGGATGGCGTGTCGGCCGAGGCTGTGTGCCTCGGGCTTGCCGGGGCCGAACCCGCTCCTGTTCTCCAGCTGAGTCTCTGGCGTACACGAGATCTGTCTCTGGAGTTTCGACGAGGGAGGTCTCTGTGGGACAGGCACAGACACACACCCGGTGGGGAGGGCGGAGGACACAAAGGTTCAGTGTTAAGTTCAATTATAAGAAGCACAATTATAGCAAGCGACCAGGAAAAAAATGTTTGTACCCAGAGAGTTGTTATGGTCTGGAACGCACTGCCTGAAAAGGTGATGGAAACAGATTCGCGAGTAGCTTTCAGGAGGGAATTGGACAGATATTTGAAAAGGAAAATGCAGGGCTGTTGGGTACGAGCTATTGGGCAGTGAGTGGGACTAGTTGGTAGCTCTCTCAAAGATTCGGCACTGGTACGATGGGCTGAATTGCCTCCTGTGCTGTAAGATTCTATCATTCAGTGCACAATTGTCATGTGGACTTCACTGTGGAATTAAGACTTCAAAGATGATTTTATATATTAAAATAAACAAAGAAATGGTTCAATGTAAGGAATCAGGTTAACTGCTTTGAGGAAATATCTTTAAGGGTGGATTCTTTCCTCCCTGTCTTTCTCTCTCTCTCTCTCTGGCTGTCTGTCTCAAGTTAGTAAGCGCTCCGAGACGAGGGGGCTACACTATACACAGAGTGACCAAAATGTTGTGATAACTGCCCTATTATTAACAAACATAAAAATATCATTTCTTATTCGACATTGTCATGGCATTGGGACTTTTTGGTCACTCTGTATAAAGGCTGTTGTTATTGTTCACAGCCCTGGGGTGGGGGTGGAGGGGGGGCAGTAGTTTCTGCTGTTTTTATGGCTGTCAAATCGATTACTGTCGCACCCCCTCCTCAGCGTCACAAGTAAATGGGAGGAAGAAGGCTCCCCACCCATCGTCTCTCTCCCCCTGCCCCCCTCTCCACCCCCCCGCCCCCCTCGGCCCCCTCGTACCTTCAGCAGGGTGTCGTGCACCTTAAAGGTGTATTTCGCCGGCTTGTCCTTACGCAGACTCTTAAGCCTGTCCAGGTCATTGCTGGCTTTGGGCCCCTGTGTGCGCTGCTCGGTGCCAACCCCACAGCGGTGGCATCTCACCCGCGTGTTGTCCACCACCAGCTTGGAGCGCCAATCATCATAGAACTTCTGAATAGCTTCCAACTGCTCCGCTTTGGCCACATCTCCTGCAACACAACATCCAGCTTTGTGTTCGACTGGGGAGGGGGACTGGGGCGGGTGGAGGGTTGGTATGTGTGGACACGGGAGTCCTGTAGGGTAGGGTTAGCGCACTCACATCACAAGCAAGAGGACCCGGGTTTGATTCCTGGGCAGAGCGAAACCTTAAGACAAGTTTCCTTTACTCAGCAGTAAGTAGAAACCTGGTTGTCAGTTGATTGGTGGATCGCTTTTCCGGGGGTAATAATCCAAGAATAATTTGGTCACTCAATCCACGACTGTTTGTGGGGACACTGCTGTGCGCCGTTGGCTGCTGTGTTCCGCCCACAAAATACACAGTTGATCCACTTTACATCCTGTGAAGCGCTTTGAGACGTCTCAATGACGTGATGAGGCGCTGTATCAAATGTAAGCGTTATTATTATTACCTGTCAGGTGGTTGGAGACGGGGAGGGCTGGGCAAGGCGGGTGTGAGTACAGATCAAAGTCGAGTTTCCTATTGTGCCATTTCCACGCTCCTCGTGACAGCGGAGACTCTAAGTTCCTGTGCAGGTTATTCTCGTTCCAAGGCTGGAAACAAAGGTGATCACAGAGCTCTCACACTGACCCCAAGTCCCACCCACTCTCAGCCTGACAAACCATTACTGTCTCAGGATTTCAGGTAAAAAAAAATAGTGGCCTTGTTTCTCTCTCCCGGTGTCCTGTCCAACAAACAATCTCCCAAATAAAATTGGCTTCTCAATCCGCGACTGCGGGACACTGCTGTGCGCAATTCGCTGTCGCGTTCCGCCCACTAAATACAGTTAATCCCGTGAGTCATTTTGAGACGTCTCGTCGCCGTGACACGGAGCTACCATCAAATGCAACAACTGCTCTTATTAAGCTGGTTTCATTTTAAAACCGGGGGGAGAAACGGCTTCCTGATTGAGACTGGGTTTGATGGTATTTTATGCAACTCTGGTGCCCCTTAAACGACTCGGAGCGAGTGGAATTTTGGTGTGTGAAGCGAGCGCGACGAGTGTGATGTGCACTGAGCCGGAACCTCCGCCCCCCCCCCGTCCCCCGTCCCCGCTGACGTACGGTTTTGAGCTCCTCTATCCGATTCCTGCTCAGCCATATCGGGTGCCTGTTGGATTCGAGGCTGGTCTTGAAGCCCGGGTATTGGAAGCCGTGGAAGGTAAGCCAGGCTGCTCTGGATCTCTCCATCTCCAGCTTCCACTCCTTCTCCACGTCCACGGGATCCACCTTCGCCGACATGTACTCCGGGCCATAGGTGAAGTGTTGCTTGGGATCCTGAGGGACAGGAAAAGGTTTACAACAACAACAAATTATACTTGTGTAGCGCCCTTCATTTCGGAAAGACGTCCCAGGGCGCTGGACAGTCAGGGGTTTTTGGACCCGAGCTGGGAGTTGGGGTCAAGAGGGGTGGAGGGCATTGGGGGTGGGGGTGGGGCAGATCAGGGTTTACGCAGTGGCCTGGGGGCAGTGACAGGTTGGCTCAATCGGGTGTTGCTCTCACCCAGTATGTGTTAACCCTCCTCCCCCCCCCCACCCCCTACTAGTTCCAATCTATGCTCAGTCGCTGATCAGTTGGGTCAGCACTCACGGTTAAACCCCACACTGACTCTCCATCAATGGAACCACATGACTGAAGATCATCTTCATCAGGGAAAGGAGCCTGATGCCTCCCGAGAACCAAATTCCACCCAGTCTTAGCACCGTGAGACCGTGCGCCGCCTCAAATAAAATGAGGCAAAGTTGCGGTACAGATCAGCCATGATCTTATAGAATGGTGGACCTGGCTTGAAGGGGCTGAATGGCCTCTCCTGCTCCTATGTTTGCTGTGTGTGCTGCCTGCCTGGCGGGGGCTCCTCACCTTGGCTATCTCTGCCCGCACCAGGGCCTTGGCCTGCTCGATGCTGTTCAGGGCCTGGATGGAGTAAGGGTAGACCTGTTTGCCGTCGGTGGGGAACACAGTGACCATCTCCCCCTTCTTCCTCTGCAACCTCCTGCTGGCTCTCTGCACCGCTTCCATGTTCATCTGCAACGAGAAGGCGTTTTAACTCTCACAAACAGCCAAGAGGTCAATAAGCAATTTAGCTGGAAGAGTGTCGGCCAGGGCACCAGGATAAACTCCCTTCTCTACCCCTATCCCAACCAAAAAGACTTGTGGAGTCCCGTAGCGTAGTGGTTAGAGCACTCTCCTCGCAAGCGAGAGGACCCGGGTTGGATTCCCAGGGCGGGGCAAAACCTTAGGCAAGTTTCCTTACCCCACCCGCTTCTGTTTACCAGCAGTAAGTAGGAACCCGGTTGTTAGTCGATTGGCGGATCGTTTTCCGGGGATAATAATCCCTTCCCCCCAAAAATATGGTCACGTAATCCACGACTGTTTGTGGGGACGTTGCTGTGTGCAAATTGGCTGCTGCGTTTCGCCCACAAAGTACACAGTCACTCCACTTTACAATATACAATATACCCTGTGAAGCATCTCAAAGATGTGATTGAGCTCTATATCCAACACGAGAATCATTATTAACATTAATTATTATATTATAGCCATGAAGAGCCCCGTTCTGTCACAAGCTGCCGATTGACGCTGTGTGCTGCCCCGAGTACCAGCGCCCCAAGTACCAGTGCCCCCAGTAACAGCGCCCCAAGTACCAGTTCCCCCAGTACCAGCGCCCCCAGTACCTCGGTGAAGTTCTTGTGGAGAGTTTGCTCTCTCTTCCTCTCGACGTAGGCTTTGTTGTGTGAGTCCAGCGGGTGTCGGCACGGCGGGTGTGACAGGCAGGTGCTCGCTGTGTCGGCCGGCGACGGGTATGGAATGACCTTGGGTGGACCACCGCGCTTAAGGTGGGCCCTGGACGCCGGGACCCCAAACTCCCTGCTCACCAGCGTCACCATCTCCGCGGTGGGGAAGAGGTCGTTGTGCACTGCGTCCCGTAACTTCCGGACGGAGCAGAGGGAATACAGCCTGGCAACGGAGCGGGGTCATGGTTACTGGAGTCCCGGAGCTCAGGGGTTAGAGCACTTGCCTCACAAACGAGGGGACCCGAGTTCAATTTCCGGCTGGTCATATCAGGGCGAAACCTTAGGCAAGTTTCCTTACTGCACGCACTGGCCGCTGTTTACCCAGCAGGATGTAGGGACCCAGTTGCTCGTCGATTGGCGGATCTCTTTCCCGGGGGTAATAATAATAATAATAATAATAATCCTTGCATTTGATATAGTGCTTTTCACGTCGGGAGGACATCCCAAAGCGCTTCACAGAACACACTGTAAAGTGAATTGACTGTATATTTGTGGGCGAACGCGGCAGCCAATTGCGCACAGCAATGTCCCACAAACAGTCGTAGATTGAAAATGACCAATTTATTATTGTCTTTGGTTTTGGAGGGATTATTATTAGGCTCTGTGTGGAGTAAGGAAACTTGCCCAAGGTTTTGCCCTCTGCCTGGGATTGAACTCAGGTCTCTCACTTGCAAAGCGAGTGCTCTAAAAACTGAGCTACAGTACCAATAATCCCTCCCCACAAAAAAATAATAATAATAATCTGGTCACTCAACCTCTGACTGTTTGTGGTAAGGCGCTGTATCAAATGCAAGTATTATTATTGTTGTTGTTATTGCTAGTGAGTGAGCAAACCCTCTGTTGACCACCCTCCAGTTTGCGATCAATCACAGGCCGCAGTATCGGGAAGAGGAGCGGAGTCATTAAACACTAGAGCATTGGTAGGGGCGAGGAAGACTCACTTGATGATACCGTGGAAGCAGGCCTGAGGCACCATGTCCCTGACGTACAGCAGTGGCTGCCTGGTAATGGTCTGCAGGGACTCGTGTAGATGGATGGTGGTGATACTCGGGTCAAGCTCCATGTACAGGCGATTGTGGAAGCTCAGGTCTGAGCTGTACCTCACGTCAAGTCGACCTGTCTCTGCAGCCTCGATTCTACAAACATACAACAGGAGAGAGAGAGAGAGAGAGAGAGAGAGAAGTGGTCTTTTAAAAATATTTGTTAGGTTAGGGTACTAAGGGATATGGGGTGAGGGCGGGTGACTGGACTTGAGGTACAGATCACCCATGATCTTGTAAAATGGCGGAACAGGCTGGAGGGGCTGAATGGCCTCCTCCTATTTCGATGTTTCCAGGAGAACGAGAGCGAGGGTCTTTTTTAATTGACAAGCTTTTGACTTCTTGGTCCTGAATTATTTTATTATTGTGGTCGTCACCTATTATAATAATCCTCGCGTTTGATACAGCGTCTTACCACGGCATTGAGACGTCTCAAAGAGCTTCACAGGACATACTGTAAAGTAGATTGACTGCGTATTTTGTGGGCGAGACGCGGCAGCCAACTGCGCACAGCAGCGTCAAAAAAAAACTACAACAATAAATTGCAGTTTGCAGCAGCGGCGCCTTTCACTTCGGGAGGACGTCCCAAGGCGCTGGACAGTGAAGAGTTTGCACCCAAACTGTGGGTTGGGGTCAAGAGGGGTGGAGGGTATGGTGGAGTGTGGTAGTGGTGGGAGGAAAACCGAAGATGTGGTCGAAGAGGGAGGACCTGAGCAGGGGTCTTGAAGGAAGGAGGCAAATACACAGTCACTACACTGGCAGCAATTCCCCGCGAGGCCCTTTGATGTTACAGGAACTGTGTCAAACAGAAGGATGGTTTTGAGAAGTTCTTCTGACATCAAAGGTGCTATACAAATGTAATTTGTTGTTCTTGTTAATGTGTTTGTATCCGTCTCCGTGGGGTGCCTGACCACGCACAGGGGAACACCCCCCTCTCTCCTCCCACCTCGTCCCTGCCACCCCCCCCCCCCTCACCCCACCATACCTGGCCGGTAGCCTTTCCCACAGCCTCCTGACACCCCCGTCTCTCAGCCCCTCCAGCACGAAGAGGTGGATGTTGTCGTCCGTCACATGGAAGCCGGTGAGGATGTCCAGCCTGGAGCTGTCCCTCTGGAGGGAGTTGAGACGACGCAGGGGGCTGGCGCGCTTGGGCAGTGACTCGAGGCACAGACCTGTCGCGTTCACCTCCTTGATCTCAGACACCAGCTCCTGCAGGAAGCCCTGGTTTCTGAAGTCAAAAATGTAAATGATGCGTCCAAATGGGCAGGCCATCTCATCCAAAACGTCAAACTCCTCCTTGTCCACAGTCTCTTTGTCCACAGTCTCCTTGTCCACAGTCTCCTTGTCCACAGTCTCCTTGTCCACAGTCGTCTTGTCCACAGTCGTCTTGTCCACAGTCGTCTTGTCCACAGTCGTCTTGTCCACAGTCGTCTTGTCCACAGTCGTCTTGTCCACAGTCTCCTTGTCCACTATCTCCTTGTCCACAGCCTCAATGTCCAATAGCTCCTTGTCTGCACTCTGCGTTTCTACAATCATAACATTGGTGTTGACCAAGATCCCAACGTCAGCAGTCTCCTCGTCCACACTCTCCTTGTTCACAGTCTCGATGTCCGTGGTCTGCTCGTCTCTGGTCTCCTCCTGCGGGTAGCGTGACAGGGGGTAAGCTATCTCCACCCTCAGCTTGAGCTGAGCATTTGACTCCAGATAATGGCCCATGGGCAGGGGGACGTCCTGGGGCCCGTCCACGGCCCCCGCTACCCCCAGGATCCTGCCCCCCAGCCCGTCCCGCTGGGAGCCCGAAGGGTCTGGCGAGCGGCAGCCCTGGATGGGGATGGTCATGTTCAGGACCCTCTTGCCATCCAGCAGCTCAGTCAGGCTGACCTTGGCCACTCCGAAGGGGTCCCAGGAGTTGTTGGTGTCGGTGAAGGGGTTGTGGAGGGTGCGCTTGCAGCTGACCAGCCCCACGTTGCTCAGTTTGCTGTCCTCGGGCTCAGCCCCGAACAGGGCGGGGATCTGCAGCTGATCCCGCAGCTTCCTGTCCCGGTCGTGCACCTCGATCTCCAGCACCGGCCCCAGCAGGTATTCCCGTAGCCGGGCAGCGTTCACCGTGCCTGTAAGGATCACGTTGACGTCATTGAAGTAGACGTTGGTCCCGTGCTCCCGGCCCAGCGTCTGGTGACATGGCAGGTCCATGAATTGGTACTGACACGTTACAGGATTACATCTGTCCTTGGGAAGGCAAGAGAACAAAAGAACATTAGTCACCGGAGTGGCAGAGACCCACAGACACACGCTCACAGACATACACACATACACAGCCCTTCCCCGCCCAGACACACACACAAAATAATAATAATCCTTGCGTTTTATATTACGACGCTCAAGACGTCGCAAACCGCTTCGCGCGATACACTGTAAAGTGGTTTGACCATGCGTTTTGTGGGTGAAACACGGCTGCGAAATTGCACACAGCTTCCTACTTGCTGCTGGGCAAGCAGGCCGGAGCAGAGAGGGAGGGAAAGAGGGAAAGGTGGCGGAAAACAGCGCGGGAGGGAGGGAAGGAGGGAGGGCGGGAGGGGAGGGAGGGAGGGAGGGAGAAAGGACGGACTTCTTTAGCTTACCTACCTCTAGATCCGAGATGGAAATGGGTGTGGATGGCATTGAGGTGACGGAGAGTATACGGATAACCAGGGGGTTCAGCTCTTTCTGCAGCTTATCTGACAGGAGTGACTGCTTGAGGGACAGTGTGAAGTAAGCGTCCATGATGGTCTGACAGGGTTTCTCCAGTTTGTTTGTGACCGAATTTGACCCTGTGAGGGACGGGAGTGGGGGGATGAGGGGGAGGGAGAGAAAGAAGACCTTTATCAGTTCAGAACGTCTCACAGCGCTTTACAGCCATTGCTGACCCGAGGAATAAACACAGCAACAACAACAACTTCCATTTATTTATATAGAGCCCCTCATGCAGGCCAGGCCAGGGCAATTATAATTATAATTGTTCCCCATGGCACATCCCGGAGTTTATACTCTGTCGGGTAGCGGGAGTTCAGATCAAAAGAAACCTGGGAGAAGGAGGGAGGGGGAGAGGGGGATGAGGAAGGGGAGGGGGGGGGGGGGTACAGACAGGCAAACCTGGTCCCATCTGTAACCAGTTATTACACGTTCCAGGTTCCATGTCCTGGAGAAAACTTCAAAGCCGCGCGGTAAACGCAATCAACATCATAAAATCTTTGCTGAGACACTGGGGAGGGGGGGGGGGGGGGGGGCGGGATGGGGGGTTGGTGGTGGGGGGGGGGTTGGGGAGACAGGGCATGTGTTGCTAATTTGTCACAGGAAGTGGAGCTGCCATTAAGCCTCCACTTTGATGCAAACCTTTTATTTCTCATTAGCCCCGCTTGTTGCTTTCCGGTGGGTAATAATCCCTTCATAAAAAATAATAAATGTGGCCACTCAATCCGCTGCTGTTTGTGGGACGCTGCTGTGCGCAGTTGTCTACCATGTTCCTCCCAGACAAAATACACAGCCAATTCACTTTACAGTATATCCTGTGAAGCGCTTTGAGACGTTTCAACGACGTGATAAGCCGCTGTATCAAATGCAAACATTATTATTATAATTATTATACATTATTATATTATAACCGAAAAGAGCCCTTCTGCCACAAATTGGGGACAAGGTGTTATACCAAATGCAAGGATTATCATTATATCATTATTATATGGTAATTTCTCTTGATCTACAGCACTGATGGAGATGTTGGACCCAGTCGGACCTGGTTGTGATTATCGTTCGTTGCCCACTCACCAGCAACAAGTGGTTTAATATCCAGGTTAATAACAGCCGCTGGCTCCACATGGAGGTCGATCTCTCTCTTCTTGTCCTTGGAGGTCACTTTGATGCTCCCCTTCTTGTTAGCTGTCAGGGAAGTAAAGAAAATATGAATTAAGGAATAGGGGGAGGCCATTCAGCCCCTCGAGCCCATTCCTCCACTCTATTAGATCATGGCTGATCTGTACCTCAACTCCAATTACCCGCCTTCACATCCCTTGTCGCCCTGACCTACCAAGCCACCTCAGTCTGGAAAATTTCAATGGATCCAGCCATAATCTATAGCCTTTTGGGGGAGGGAGAGAGAGAGTTCCAGATTTTCACTCCCCCCCCCCCCCCCACCCCACTTCAACTCTTAACGTGCGTTGCGCAGTGAATCTCCCTATGATTAAGCTGGCTGCAAGGCGTCTTGTTTCCTCAACTTATCCTGAACCAGTTCACTGGAATCCAACACACTATCTCACCAAGGCGGGTCCAGGTGTCAGCACCTTGGGACGTCCTCCCGACGTGAGAGGCGCTGTGTGGCTGTAACGTGTTGCTGTTATTGTCTTCTACACACATGCCCCTCCACCCCCGCCTCGCCAGGAGGTACGCAATCAGCAATCAATAAAACGCTCCGGATTACAAGCAAATCTAATGAACTAGCGCTGGACACTTCAGTCATTCCAATCTTAAGACTTTAACCCGGTAAAATCCCACGATCCTGTAACATTCCCGCTGGAAGGAATTTCCCAATGACTGCTGCACTCTCCTACCCCCACTCCCCTTGGCCTCCATCTCTCCTGATCCCAACCCCCAGCTCGGGTCGAAATCCTTGACCATCCAGGACTTTGGGATGTCCTCCCCACGTGAAAGGAGCTGTGTAAATGCAATGTGTTGTTGTTGCTACTCACTGTACTTCCACTTGGTCAGGTCAGAGATGGAGTTGTTCTCTTCATTCTGAACCAATAGCTTTAACTTCTCTTCGGCCGAGGACGCTTTGGATTCCTGATCCGGACACAGCTTCCTCTCGCTGGGTGAGGAAAAGAGAGAGACCGCCAGAGACAAAAGGTCATCGACCTGAAACATTAACTCACTTTCCTCTCTCCATAGTTGCTGCCTGACCTGCTGAGTGTTCCCAGCCACTTCTGTTTTCCAGCATCTGCAGTATTTTGCCTTTGGTTAATGGCCTGCGTTACCTCGCTTACAATACAGAGAGCCAAGCAAGCGACACACACACACACACATAACGGGTCCCAACACTGCTCTGTCATGACACAAGCCAGTCCTTGCCTTTATGTCAATAGTTGTGTGTTCCTCACACCCTCTACACCAACCATCAGTGGAGGAGCCATATTAGCCACTATGTGGGAATATTGCCCAAAGTCTCTCTGTACTTTCTTTCTCCTTCAAGGAAAAAACCTTACTACTTGTGCCTGACCTGATGAGCATTCCTAGCCACTTCCGTTTCTATTGCGAGTAATGTTACCTCATTGGCCGCGGGCCATCTGTCTTGGAGGAGACATGCTGCTCGATGCCGGAAGACAGCCTTTTGGGGTCGCTCGAGTCGATGGGGTTTATTTCTTGTAACAAGGACATGGCCTTTTGGAAGCTCCTGGTGCTCTCCTTCGGGATCTCCTTTATCTTCTGATCCAGCGAGGTAACCACGACAGTGATGAGTTCTGTGTCAGAGAAACTGAGGGTCAGACAGTGGGGGTGGGGGGGAGGGGGACCTGGGGGAACTCAACCTCAAAATAACAACAACTTGCATTTATATATGTGCATTCTGGCTACTGCATTTCGTCCACAAAATATAGTCACTACACTTTACCTTCAGCAAGTTTCCTTCCTCCACACGGCTGATAATAATCCCTCAAAAAAAAATAATAAGCTGGTCATTTCAATCCACGGCTGTTTGTGGGGACGCTGCTGTGCGCAATTGGCTGCCGCGTTTCGCCTACAAATATAGAGTCAATTCACTTTACAGTCTATTCTGTGAAGCACTTTGAAACGTCGAGAAGACGTGAAAAGCGCTATATCAAATCCAAGGATTATTATTATTATTATTATTATTATTATTATTATTATTATTATTATTATTATTATTATTATCTCCCACACCCCAGCACTGTGATAACAATGGGCACCAGTCACAGCTAGCCTGAAACATAGGAACATAGGAACAGGATTAGGCCATTCAGGCCCCTGAAGCCTGTTCCATCATTCCATTAGATCATGGCTGATCTGTACCTCAACGCCATTTATTCGTCGTTGCCCCGTAACCTGTGATTCCCTGCCCTAACAAACATCTAGCCATCTAGTCTGGAAAATTTCAATGGATCCAGCCATAACCCACAGCCTTTTTGGGGAGAAAGGGGATGTTCCAGATTTCCAATCCCCTTTGCGTTAGTGGAAAAAATGAAAGAAAGCTTCCTGATTTCACTGCTAAATGCCCCCGCTGTCATTTTAAGACTCTGCTTGTGAAAGGACTCGCCTTCTGAGTTGCTGATCTTGCCCACCACCGCACCAATGTTTTTCCCGTTGTTGCGGAGCAGCGTGGAGCTGGCCCGAGGCTGGCCGTTCTTAAACAGCATCTTCTGTGACAACACCAGGGTCTTCATCATATCTAGAGAGGAGGTGAGGGTAAGGCTGGATCCCAAAGTTAATGGTCAGACCCCTTGTCTGGTCACTGTATCCCCCGCCATCCATATATGTCCTTACCCTCCATTCCCCCCGCACCCATATCCCCATCTGGCTTCCCACCCCACCAAAGGAAGACCCTCCAGGGGGAGGGAGAGAGAGCACATTCCATCCCAACAATCTATCTCTGGAATTTCCATGTGTAGGTGGGATGCATGGAATCCTCAGCCTGGTTTGGAGACTCTTAAGCAACGGTGAAGGGTTCCCGCAGGTGTCAGACACCCGGCCGGGCAAAAACAAAAGTTTCCATCGTGCTTCACAGTAATGTTCACACATAAAAAACACGCAGTCACTGCACTTTACAGTATATCCTACGAAGCGCTTGGGGACGCCCTCTTGACCAGAAGGGCGTGGTAGCAAATGGACAAATTATTATTATTAATATCATTATTATTATAATGGGGAATGATGGATTACAAGACACAGCTGAGAGTTCACAGTGACCCACAGCCTTTATACTCACCGTCCACATTGGGCCGGACCCCTCCCTTTTGGCGTAGAACACGGAAGCCCCTGGGCCGGTCAAACCTGGCCTTCGGGGACACTTTCTCCTTGTGGTCCCAAACCTGCAGTGTCACAATGTGGGTCATCAGCTTCAGCAGCAGGTCTCTTGTGACCGGCAGGTTCACTTCCTGATTCCAAGCCACCCACATCCGCTCGCCATCATCCCACGGCACCAACACCTGGAGGTGGATGGGGTGGAAAGTGGGTGGGGTGGTGGGGGGGGGGGGACGAAACAAGAACAATCATCAACCTCCCCAATCCACACCCTTTTGTGAATATCACAACAGCCTGAAGTCCTGTAGCTCTCTTACCCCCATCACCCCACCCCACCCACACACACATCCACACATCCATGTTATTTTGGAGACCGGTAGCGTAGTGGTTAGCACATTCGCCTCGTAAGCGAGAGGACCTGAATTTGATTGGCTGTCATGTTTCACCCACAAAATACACACTTACTCCACTTTACAGTATATTCTGTGAAGCGCTTTGAGACGTCTCAATGACGTGATAAGGCGCTATATCAAATGCAAGGATTATTATTATTATTATTATTAACAGCATGTATTTACCCAGCGCCCTTCACATAGAAAAACATCTTGGAGAGCTTCCCAGTTGCTGTGAGATAGGGGAGAGAGAGGGGAGAGGGAGGGAACAGGGGGGTTTGATGACAAGCAAAGGGGAGAAGAAGTGGTGACCAAAGGCACATTGGAAGAAATAGTGTGTAAAGTGGGATTAAAAAGATGGAGAGACAGGCTGGGGCAGAGGGAGAGAGGTGCTCCTACCTTGGTTTCACTCTCCATATACACTTTGACAGCTAACCCAAAATCTGCCAAGTCGATCTTGATTGGTTCAGCCTCGTCGGGGAAGAGGGAGAATTCCAGATGGTAATAATTTTGGGCCTTGGTTGATTCCACTTTAGCTGTTTTCTTCTTGGTCTGCTCTTCTTTGCTCTTCTCTTCTTTCGCTAGATAGCATACACACCTCGTTGTTACTGAACCAACTTTGCAGGATTTCACGCTTACCGATTTGTGGAGTCCCTGCAGTGTAGTGGTTAGAGCGCTAGCCTCGCCTGCGAGAGGACCCGGGTTCGATTCCCAGGCGGTATGGGCCAAAACCTTAAACAAGTTTCCTTACTCCACATGCCTCTATTTACCTAGCAGTACGTAGGAACCCAGTTATTAATCGATTGGCAGATCACTTTTCTGGAGCTAATAATCCCTCCCAAAAAAAAATAATAATCATTTGGTCACTCAGTCCAGCACTGTTTGTGGGACGCTGCTGTGCGCAATTGGCTGCCGCGTTTCGCCCACAAAATACACAGTCAATCCTCTTTACAGTATATTCGGTGAAGCGTTTTGAGATGTCTCCATGACATGATAAGGCGCTGCATCAAATGCGAGGAATATTATTATTATTATTGTTTCCCCCTATTTTTCCCGACCGTACCGCGTTGCTGCTTGGTCACGTACCTTTGGGAATAGCCAGTGTCATGGTGATCATGCAGTTTATTATGTTGGAGGAAACAACTTCTTCATCCACGGGCTCTGCCTCTGGCTGGCCCTTAGGCCTGACTACCTTGTTGTCCTGAGGCCAATTTGAAAACAGGGATAGCTGGCTGACCGCAGAAAAAAACAGAGTCCGGCTCTGAGTCTGCATTATGGAGTGGCTCGGAGACTGCTCAATCTGGTTCTCAGTTTCACCGTGACGGTTGGATAGACACAGATTGTTCGATGAGACAAGATTCAGACTCTTAGTCGAAGCTCGGGGGTTGGACACAGTGAAATGCAAGCCCTCGGATTCTGCCAGATGCTTCGTCGCAGAATCAGACTGAGGGACGTCCGAACACCGTGTCCCCAGTTGACGGCTCTCCCACGTGGTGTCCTGGAAGCTGTTCACCCGAGAGGGCTGCTGGCTGTCAGCTGTCAACAGAGACTGTCTGCCGGATAGAGGCAGGTTACTCACTTGGGCACGGTGATGGCTGGCGGATTTGCGTGGAGACCATTTGTGGGTTTGGGAGAGTCGGACGCTGGGCGAGACTGTCAGAGTCTTCGATGCATAGCGGCTCGTCGAAGGCCGATGAAGGCTGCCGGCCGTCTGCAACAGGTGGCGGCTGCTGGAGGACAACGAACGCCCACCGCCCGTCAGAGACACTCGCTGGGCACTGCCCACAGATTGCCGTCGGCTGCCAACAATAGACGTTCGGCGGCTCCCGCTCAATGACATACGGCGGCCAGCCGCCAGAGAGGGTCGTCGGCTCCTAATCTGGGACGATCGTTGGCTCACAGAGGCCGAGCGCCGGACTCCAGGCTGAGCATTGCGCCAAATCACGGACCCGGGCAGAACCTTACTGGATGTGGGCAGGATGCGCGAGCTGTCAGTCGTTCCCAGATGCCAGGGTTTGGTATCGCTAATGTTGCTGTTGTACTCCTCCCACAGATCAACGTCACTCAAGTCACTGCCTTCCAAGTTGATGCTCTCTATGTTGCTGATAGAGTAACTGCGATCTTCGCCACTGGAAATGTCCAGCAACTCCTTCGAAATCACTTCTAGAAGTTCAGCGGGAATCGACTCCTCGCTGAGGGTTCCCTTGGCGATCTGCAGACAACGTAATAATCCTCAGCAGGAATACAAAACTAACATTTTTTTACGGCGGGGAAGCTCTTAGCATAATATTTGGGGCTCGAACCCATAACTTTCTGATCTGCAGGCGAGAGCGCCATTGACTGAGCCAGGCTGATAATATTTCCCTGGCTTGGTAACCAAAGCTGGGGAGGGGAAGGGAGCTATGCTGGGGTGGGAAGGGTTGAGGGGGTGGGGTGGGGGAAGATGACCAAAGGTGCGGTCAAAGTGGTAGATCTTGAGACGGACCTTGAAGGAGATGAAGGAGGGAGGGAGGGACGGAGGGAGGAGTTGGGGGGACTCCTATAGAACGTTATATAATACAAAATACACAAAATAGTCACTACACCTTACAGCGTATCCTGTGAGGCGCTTTGAGACGTCTAAACAATGTGATAAGGCCCTGGATCACACGCAAGGATCATTATTGTTGTTATTACATCAAATAGTCATTACCGGAAAAAAAAATAGAGGTTAAAACATTTGTTTTAAATGTATTTCTCCCAAACCCCCAAACCCTCCCCCCCCCCCCACCCCCCCACATGGAAACTGGATGCTTACATCATCTGATCTATCCAGCAGTTGTGAATCGTCCATCCTGCTCAAGATTGTGAGGACCTGAGCGAATAGTAAGAGCGTATTTTGCGGACACTGGGGGCAGGTCAGCGAAGGGGATTTGCCAACGGAAACGCCAAGTTTGATAAATTAAACGAACAGGTGAAAGGAGCGTGAGAGCGAGAGAGAGAGTAACTGTTATTCTCTGTGTTTAAACTCCAATCGTCGTCCAACTTTAACTTAAATAAACGCAATTCGACTCTTTTTCCCCCACCCCCCCCCACCACAAACTTTTCTCAACTAACTTTTCCACCGGCAGGTAACAAGCCGCGGCGCGCCAGCTCAGCCGGCCGATCCATCCGCCGCCCTTAAAGAGTGCGTCACTTTAAAAGCGCTCAACGAGTACCAGAACCCCAGTCGGGTCTGGGCCGGGAGGGGGGAGGGGGGTGGGGGAGGGTCGTCTCTAATCGTCCCCGAGGTTTTGACCTGTTTTTTTTTTTTGGTGCTGACTTCTGCTTCTGTTCACTTTGTATGGGTGGCTGTGCGCGCGGATGGATTCAGAAGTGTTGCTAACAACGTAACTAAGGAAGTAGTCGGTGCTGGGAACTACTTTCCGGTGTGGGTGGGACCCACACCATCAGCTCAAGTTCGGCTTTTTATGGCTAATAATATTTTAATAATAATAGTAATATGTGAAATGCAAGGATGATGATTATTCATACGGATAACCGTGTGCCTCACAACAACATTGTACAGTACAAGGCACGGGAAATAATTATAGTAATCCGTGCATTTCATCGCGTCTTCGGGACGTCTCAAAGCGCTTCACAGGATACACTGCAAAGTGCAGTGACTGCGTATTTTGTGGGCGAAACGCGGCAGCCGATGGCACACACAGCAGCATCTTCAAGACTTCGAAACGCAGACTGAGTTTAAGAATTTTCTGCAATTCTGCGCCATATTGAATTCGAGGAGGGACAGGGAATCCTCCCACTCAACTCCCGTTAAACCTGTAAGCCAAAGCCCTAACAGGTAGGGTGGTCCTGGCTGGACAAGCAGCAGGAATGCTTGGCCAGGCAGTGATATCAACGGCAAGCTACGCGGTGTTAGGTGGTTAGACTCCAGTAGTTACCCCAATGCACACTCTGGGCTCCCCAAGCCTCAGCTCTCGGCAACCGGTGCCTAATGCTTTCCAGAATTAGGTAAGCAGGATAGGACCCTCCAGAGAGAGAATGCGTATTCCATTCCAACAACCTATCTCTGGGATTTCCATGTGTAGGTGGGATGCCTGGAATGCTCAGATTGGTTTGGACACTCTTAAGCATGGTGATGGGTTTCCAGTTGTGTCAGACACCCGCCTGACCAAAAAAAATTAAATCGAAGGACAAATGCCCTGACAGATTATAAGACTTGGTGGAACTTCAGTGGGATGAAAGTGCCACGTGCAGTCAGTAATATTGGCTTCACGACGAGGTTCGTAATTAGTGCAGGAAAACTATCACCATCAGAAAAAATGATAGATCTGTATATTGCTGCAACTTGTTTATAATCAGTTTCAAAGCTTGCAATTGCTATGGAACCCACTCAATGGACGAATTCAACAACAACTTGCACTTATATAGTGCCCCAGAGTGCTTAACGATGGTGGAGCCTGACGCCGAGCCAGAGGGAGGGAGGGAGGGAGGGAGGTGACCATAAGCACGGTTGAAGAGGAAGGTTTTCAGTCATGATCTAAAAGAGGAGGAGGGGGCACGGCGGAGTGATTGGGGGAGAGAGTTCCAAAGCAATTGATCGTGGAAACAACCTCACGGTTGCAGGGGGGGTGGGGGGAGAGAACTGCAGACGGGGGGGGGAGAACTGCAGACGGTTGTTATATTTTTGAGAAGTGGGGCCACAGAGGGGGCAGTTGAAAGGTTTGGCTTTGCACGCACTTACAATAAGCACAAGCGGAGCTGAGGGAGGGACAGGTGCAGAGAATTCTCTGTATGGTTCTGATTCAAACCCATCGGCCTCAGCCACTGCTCATTCAGAATAAACTAATATATTTTTTAAATTAAGTTTAACAACAAAACAATAGTCAAATAATCGCATTATCTTTCCATCCTTACGGTTGGCTGTGAAATTGGCACACGTAACATTTTTTTTAATCGAAATCCATTCTGTTTTGGAGGTCCTGCTAAGAAAAGGGGATTACTAGCGCACATCAAATGAACCGGACTGTACTGTGGGAATCAGCGCCGTGGAGTCTGTGAAAAGATTTCTTTTTAAAAAAAAAAAATCACTCGATGGCCAGAAAAAAAGCCTCGTTCGGGCGGAGGTAGAAGCTCCCGTGGCGTTAATCGAAACGAGTAGGGAGTTCGTCTCTCCTGGTGTCCTGGCCAACAATCCCCCAAATAAAAAAACAGGTTGTTCCGTTCATTTGTGCTTGAAGGGTGGGGTGGGGTGGGGTGGGGTTGGGGGTGGTGGGGGGGTGGACAGGGTTGTTGCTGTTTGCAAATGGCTGCCTCGCTTCCCTACAAAATACACGGTTTCGCACCCCACAAAATATACAGTCAGTTCACTTCACGGTACGTTCCGTGAAGCGCTTTGAGACGTCTTGAAGACGTGATGAGGTGCCGTATCAAATCAAATGCAAGGATTATTATTATCATTGTTATTATTGTACATTACAGTTACTACACTTTGCTGGAACTGCGGGGGAAAGGCTTCCAATTGGGGGGGAAAAAAGGCACAGAAACGAGGAATTGCCTTCCTTCCCCACAAGTCGGGCGGTGCGGGGTTTACCTCTCTCTCTCTCTCTGTCTCTCTCTGTGAAGGCCGATCACGGTGGGTGGATTCCAGGCGCTGGATGGACCGACTCGGGGCCCCCGGGAGTACCTTCCCCCCCACCGGTGGTCTCGGTGCCTCTCCGGATGTCTATCTGCACATCTGCACTTGGTGTGGGAGAGCATCTGTACAGCACAGCACAGCCTGTGACGCAACAGATGGACAAGTGCTCACACAGTGAGAGCGGAGTGCCCATCACACACACACTTACCCCCCACCCCCCCCACCCCCACCCCCCAACCCCCATCACACACACACTTACCCCCCACCCCCCCATCACCCCCCCCACCACACACCACCCCCCCATCCCCACCCCCCACCATCCCCACCCCCATCACACACACACTTACCCCCCACCCCCCCCCATCACCCCCCCCCACCACACACCACCCCCCCATCCCCACCCCCACCATCCCCACCCCCATCACACACACACTTACCCCCCACCCCCCCCCATCACCCCCCCCCACCACACACCACCCCCCCATCCCCACCCCCCACCATCACACACACACTTACCCCCCACCCCCCCCACCCCCCCCCCCCAACCCCCATCACACACACACTTACCCCCCACCCCACCCCCATCACCCCCCATCACCACACGCCACCCCCCACCCCCACCCCCAACCCGCATCACACACACACTTACCCCCCACCCACCCCCCCCGTCCCCCACCCCATCACCACACGCCACCCCCCACCCCCCACCCCCATCACCACACGCCACCTCCCCACCCACCACCCCCACCCACCACCCCCCATCACCACACGCCACCCCCCACCCCACCCCCCAAACCCCATCACACACACACTTACCCCCACCCCACCCACCCCCCCATCACCACACGCCAACCCCCCATCACCACACTTACCCCCCCACCCCCCCATCCCCCATCCCCCATCACCACACGCCACCCCCCCACCCCCACCCCCCAACCCCCATCACCACACTTACCCCCATCCCCCACCCCCCCCCACCACCACTCCCCCCCACCACCCACACCCACTCTCTCTCTCGTAACTCCCCAAATCAAATCAACTCTGTAAAATGTCAAATCAAGTACAATATAATCGCCCCCCAGACGATTGCCTGGCGTCTGCCCATCAGTGGGTGGGGGGTGAGGGGGTGGGTGGGGGGTGAGGGGGTGAGGGGGTGGGTGGGGGGGGGGTGAGGGGGTGGGTGGGTAGTGACAGCAAAGGAACAAACTGGGGACGTTCTTCCAAAGAAAACAGTGCGCCGAGATGAGTATTATGCGTGAAAATAAGGTTGATTTGCGGGTAAATAAGAGAGACAGACACAGAGAGGGAGAGAGGGGCTGTGTGTGTGTGTGTGTGTGTATATATATATTCCTGGACGCGGATTGTTCAGGATCTCACTGGCAGATTCCCAATGAAACTGTGCCCAAAAGTTTTACTGAACAAAATGCGAGTCTCTCTCCCCCTATCTCTTCCCCCCTTCCCCTATTTCTCCTCTCTATCTCTCTCTCTTCCTCCCTTCCCCTATTTCTCCTCTCTATCTCTCTCTCTTCCTCCCTTCCCCTATTTCTCCTCTCTATCTCTCTCTCTTTCCCCCTTTCTCTCCTCTTTTACCCTCTCCCTTCCTCCATCTCTCTTCCCGTCTTTCTTTTTCTCCCTCTGTCTCCTCTATCTCTCTCTCTCACCCCTTCCCCTCTCTTTCTCTCTCTCCCTTCCCCTTTTTTTCTCCTTCTCCCCCCCCCCCCCCCCCCCCATTCCTCTCTCTCCCTCTCCCTCTGAATCTGACATCTTGAAGTATTTTGTGGTCCTGTTGCCGCCGTCACGCCCACGTGTACTTTGTGTGTATTTTCACGACCCTCTGGCAGTTCCCGTGGGCTCTGTGCAATTTCCCCCCTCCCCGGGGGACAGAGAGAGATAGAGGGGGGAAGACAGACAGACAGAGAAAAAAGAGATAGACAGCCAGAGAGAGAGGGTGTGAAAGAGAGGGGGTAGAGAAATAATGGATGGAAAGAGACAGACGGGGAGAAAGAGATAGACAGAGAGGAGAGAAAAGGGGAAAAAGAAAGAGGGGAAAGGAGGGAGAGAGTGGGAGGGAGATACACAGAGAGAGAAAGACACCCAGAGGGAGGAGAGAAAAAGAGGGAGCGAGGCAGTGGAGAGAGAGAGAGAGAGGAGGAGGAGGAGAGAGGGAGGGATGCGTTTCTTTTTCCCAAAGAAGGAAAACATATTAACAAGTGGAGCATCAACAGTGAGTCTGGGAGTCGAGCACTGGTTGTGGGGAATGAGTGAGTGAGTGAGTGAGTGAGGGGAGGAGGAGAGAGAAGAGAGGAGGGGGTGGGGGGAAGGAGAGAGGAGAGGAGGGGGTGGGGGAAGGAGAGAGGAGAGGAGGGGGTGGGGGGAAAGGAAAGAGGAGAGAAGAAGAGAAGAGGGGGTGGGGGGGAAGGAGGGAGGAGAGAAGAAGAGAGGAGTAGAAGAAGAGAGAAGAGGGGAGAGAGGGTGGGGAGAGGAAAAGAGAGCAGAAGAAGAGGGGAGAGAGGAAGGGGGTACTGGGGGGAAAGGAGAGAGGAGAGAAGGGGAGAGTAGAAGAGAGGAGAGGAGAGAGGATGCAGCGGGCAGACCCAGCCCCAGCCCCAGCCCCAGCCCCTGCCCCAGCCCCTGCCCGGCCAGGCGGACAGAGTGGGTGGTCAGTGCCTTGGCTTATCATTACGGCTTGGACCGGGGTGTGGAGAACGAGATCATCGTGTTGGCCACGGGGTTGGACCAGTACCTGCAGGAGATCTTCCATCACCTGGACCTGCGGGGTCAAGGCACCATCTCCTCGGCGGACCTGAGAGCCCTGTGCCGAGTCCTGGCGCTGGAGCCCGGCTCTCAGGGCGAGGAGGAGGCGGTGGGGCTGTTGGAGGCTCTCCCGGATCGGCTCAGCTTCAAGCAATTCCACGCCAAACTCTGCGGCTACTTCAGCACCAAAGCCGGATGCCAATACCACACCGGCCGCCTCCTGGTGGGCAGCGACTCCGAGCTGATTGAGACCCAGATCCGCTTGCGGGGTCCGCTCACGGGGAGGAGAGGCGCTCTGGGGCGCTCTCCGGCTCCAGCCGGGCCGGGAGTGGGTCAGCAGGTCGGCGGGGGCTCCAGCCCATCCAGCCCGCCCCCCAGGCGGTATGAGCCGTGCAGTAGGGAGTGTTACGAGGACATCGTAGCTTTGGAGGCGGCCGAGGACAAAGTGGCCAAGTTGGAGTTGGAGAACGCCAGCCTCAGGCAACTGGTGGAGGAGCTCAGGGCGGCTCTGCAGAGCAGCGATGCCCGGGCTCTCGCCCTCCAAGTTGGACTGTGCAAGAGCCGCCAAGTTCCCGACCAGGACCCACACACAGACACCCCGGCTCGGGTGGCATCTGATGTCCCACAACTGAACCCAACGGGCTCCTCAGCCAAGCTCCTCAAGGAAGGGCGTATGCAGGAGGCCCTGAGGTTGAGCCAGGAGATGGAGAGGGAGCTGAGAAGGTCTGAGGAGGCTCTCCTGACCCTGGAGGAGAGTAACAGGAGGCTGGAGAGGGAGCAGCTGGACACCAGGCAGAGGGTGGGCAAGGCACGCCAGGCTGTGCTCAGAAGCTTCCAGAAGGTGAAGGAGTTGGAAAGCCAAGCCAAGGAGGTGCCATCCTTACAGAGGAGTGTGCTCCAACTGCAGTGCCAACTGCGCTACTACAGGTAGGTCACTCTGCTGGGGCATCCTGCCAGTCACAGCCCATCCGGCCCAACTTGTCCTCTTTGTAAGTATAACCCCAAACTTTAACTTGCATTTGATAAAGTGTCTTATCACATCTTCGAGACGTCTCAAAGCGCTTCACAGGATATATTGTAAAGTTGTAGACTGTAATTTGTGGGCTGAGGAATGGATGGAGTTCCAGAGGGTGGGGGCAGGAAAACTGAAGGCCCCGCTGCTGATGGTGGGACGGGCAGGCCAGTGCCCACCAAGCGGAGGGAATGGGCAGGTTTTTTTAAAATTTAGGTTAGCTAGAGACTCAAACCAAACTGTAACTTACAGTCCATCACCGAAGCTCTACTCTAATCCCTTTTCTTGGCTGCCGAAGAACTAGAGTTAGCAATGACAATCTATTTGTAATTGTGTTAAGTCACAAAAGCCGAAGCCTGAATAAGAGCGATTCCAGTTTGTGTTGCCACATCTTAGACTCAGTTAATTCCCTACACATCCATCCCTCCCTCCAGTCTGGGCTGTGCATCTGTCTGTATATTTTCCAACCTGACATTGGAAACAATTCTTGGCTGGTGACTTGACCCACTTTTTGAGTTTATTGAAGAAACAGGTTGATTTGTGCCTCGGATTTGCACACGTGACCACACATTAACAGGCTGTTCACATCCTATATAAAAAGCTGCTAAAATATTCCTCAATTTTTCACAATTCCAACAATCCAGTGTTATAAATAAAATAGGTGTGAAATATTAGAAAAGTCCCTCTCGCCATCAGTACAATAATAACCCAGTTTGTTGGTGCTGATTTTGATTCACTTGCCGCTACCCAATTACCATTGATGTGAATCTCCTTTCAGTGACTCGGTGTGTGTGTGCGCCCTCTGAGCACCTTGTTTTCATGGGATTTGCTACACCTCCAAATCTGATTGGTGAGAATGACAGGTTGGTTGAACTTCAAAAGCTTGTGAAACAAATGACACGTTGGAAGCTGGACTGGAAACACCAGCTGCACAGCTCAGTTGCATTGGTTAAGTAGTTAGCTGTGTTTTGAGGTAGAGGAACCCGCAAGGAACCTGGAGGAGGAGACTTGACTCAAATTGCACTGGCCGCAGTACAACTGACCCAATTTTGTTGGTCAGCCCCCACAGGCAGAAACCCATACTTCGTATTTCCATTGGTGCGCGACACATCTACGTGGAAATGTGCCGTCTGGAAGGCCGTGTGTGTGCACGCTCTCCCTGGGGGACGCACCCCTCCGTGTGTGCACACTCTCCCTGGGGGACGCACCCCTCCGTGTGTGCACACTCTCCCTGGGGGACGCACCCCTCCGTGTGTGCACACTCTCCCTGGGGGACGCACCCCTCCGTGTGTGCACTCTCCCTGGGGGACGCACCCCTCCGTGTGTGCACTCTCCCTGGGGGACGCACCCCTCCGTGTGTGCACTCTCCCTGGGGGACGCACCCCTCCGTGTGTGCACTCTCCCTGGGGGACGCACCCCTCCGTGTGTGCACTCTCCCTGGGGGACGCACCCCTCCGTGTGTGCACTCTCCCTGGGGGACGCACCCCTCCGTGTGTGCACTCTCCCTGGGGGACGCACCCCTCCGTGTGTGCACTCTCCCTGGGGGACGCACCCCTCCGTGTGTGCACTCTCCCTGGGGGACGCACCCCTCCGCTGCAACTGATGGAACTGAACTGAGATACTGACGTAATGTCACCGGCTCCGTGACATCACCACCCCATGATGTCACAGCCCCATGACATCACAGGCATCAGTGACATCACGGACCCGTGACATCACCACCGCGCGGCAGCAGTCCTGGCACACGGCGGCCCCGTAGAATGCGTGTGCTATGACATCAGAGTGCGGTGACATCATAGTCAATGACACCATACATTCACGACATCATACATTCATGGCATCACCGCCCTATGACACTATCAGCCTATGACACCATCGCCCTGTGACATCACTGCCCTATGGCATCACTGCCCCATGGCATCACTGCCCCATGGCATCACCGGCCTATGGCATCACTGCCACATGGCATCACCGTTCTATGGCATCACTGCCCCATGGCATCACCGCCCTATGGCATCACTGCCCCATGGCATCACTGCCCCATGGCATCACTGCCCCATGGCATCACTGCCCCGTGGCATCACCGGCCTATGGCATCAACGCCCTATGGCATCACTGCCCCATGGCATCACTGCCCCATGGCATCAACGCCCTATGGCATCACTGCCCCATGGCATCACCGCTCAATGACAAGCTTGTAATTTGAACGGCACGATGGAGCGAGTCCTTGCAGGACGTGAGGCCACACGGCTTCCTGTAGCTATGTCACAAAGTGCTGCTCTCAACGGGATTTCTACACTCATCCATTGAGGATGTTTGTGAACGATTAGATCCACAGCTTTATACATCAGTCGCTGATTCTGTTTTGCCATATACATCCCTCATAAAATGAGCTCTTCTGTATAGTAGTATTCATTGATTAACTGTCACTCGGAGTCAGGCTGTTGCTGGCCAGATGTGCCAGAGTCAGCCTTCAGTGCTTCAGGCTGCGTCACTCTTTAAGAGCAGACCCGACCACATAACTCGAGTCTCAGAGCGCTCACAGCTGGCCGGCAGATGTTTGGCAGCAATAAGATATTTTCCATTCATTTGCTGGAAGTAAAAGTTGGGAAACGCAATGTTGCTAAATTCCTACTAACCCTTACCTTCCTGAATACCATGGAAAGCCATGAGATTTGCATGTTAAACATTATGTCTGACAGGTTTCTGGTTAGCAACTCCTAGTGCTAACCAGGAGCTGAACTGAGTCTCAGAATTACTCCAGTTCCAGGGAAAACCTGTTAGCATCCCTTATAATAATAATAATAATAATCCTTGCATTTGATATAGCGCTTTTCACGTCGGGAGGACGTCCCAAAGCGCTTCACAGAACACACTGTAAAGTGAATTGACTATTGCTTTCCTTTTATAAGAACATTTTTTTAGGAACCCCCAAATCATTTGCTATTGGATCTGATGCTCAACCAGCAAGCCACAATAACAATAATAATCTTTGAATTCGAAACTGTCCCTATAACACTTCACCGGTACTTGCCGACAAGTGTAGTGACGGCAGCCAATATGTGCATACTTCCAGTCATGAAGTGAAGGACCAATTTGTCAAGAGGATTTTTGGCCTGGAAACCGGGGGAAACAGGTCTGTTATCCTCCCATCTGACTCGCAAGCTCAATCAACAACTCGATCAAAAACAAGAGTTAAATGATATGAACTTTGAGTGCTTTGAGACGTCAGGCCAATGTGAAGGTGCTATATAAATGCAAATCTTATTGTATAACTAACTAGTACTTACTATAGAAAGCTGCTCCTCAGGCAAATCACAAATGGACCAAAAGAACAAGGGAAGAAGGAGGAGGGGGGCATGAGGGGAACTGGGCGCTTGTGGTGGTGGCGGGAGTGGGGGGGAAGTTGGATTCATCCCAATAGTGGCAAAGCCCCTTTGTAACACTGTTCCCACACACAGGATAAGCCAGCCATGCACTGTTCCCTCGCTCACAAACTGCGCCCGTTCTAACACTGTACAGGAGAGGAAAAGTAACCCAAAGACCCAAATCACCGCTGCACCATGTACCTCACAGCGAGTTTGAACAGAGTGCGTATTTACTGATTAAACCCGGCTCCTGTGCTAAGCAGCAGATTTAGAAGCCATGCAGATAATTTCTTATTAAATGACTTTGTCTTTCTCCCGCCGGGGACTCATTCGCTGCTTTCAGGGTAATTCACGGGAGCATAATAGTTGGTGTGACACATTGTGGGACCTTTCCATTCACTCCCAGGGACCTGGCTCTATTCAGCCTGAGAAATACCATCAATCACCAGACACTCTCTTTATCTCCCGCTATACGCTGTGCCCACAAGATATGAACTCCGGGCCGTAACCCGTGGTAACCAGCCTTCTCACGTCTCACTGATATGGCTCCTTGTTCATTTACTTTCTATCTTTTGGGAAGCTTTGCCGAGGGAAACAATCGCAGACCAGACAATTGATATGAATTTCTTGCTGTGTGACAGTCTAGGGCAGTTACAACTGGGTTCATCTCGTCTGTGCCTGAGGGTGGGGGGGAGGAGACGAGGGGTGGGAGAAGAAATTAGCAAAAGGGGTCTATAGTGTGCCATGTGTAAACCATTTGTAAACACACCTGTATTACGTGTAAACAACATGTGGGCACAGCTGTATCGTGCGCTGAGTGCAAACTTGCATGAGGGCGCAATCTCATTCTACGCCTTTGTTCAAACCGTGAGCAAATGCACCTGTTTTCACTTGTAAATCGGGGGGGAAAAGGCATTATATGCCGTGTGAAATCGTCGTTGTTAAATTAAGCCTTTGGACAACCAGTGAAAAAGGATTTAATAATTACGCTGCTAACCGTAACCACTGGCTCTCAGCCTTGACTGATGCTTAGTGTATCAGCCTGGCGCAGGGGGTAGCACTCTCACCACAGAGTCAGGAGGTAGTCTGCGTTCTACCATCCTGGTAGTCGCTTGCTACAATAACGGAGATGTTGATAGCAATTATTTCTGTCTGGATTACAACACAATGAGAAGCTGTATAGCTCGGTCCTGCCCCAGGCAGCACCTTTACCCCTGGCCATGGGGAGGGGTTGGGTCTGCCTTCCCCTTGACACCGCTATCTATTGAACAGACATCCTTCCTGGGCTCCCCTCTTCCCCGCTGTCTTCACTTTAAGGCCTTTCAAACAACAACATTTCACAACCTGGTGACGGAGTTTAAGTGGATTTAAACCAGACGCCCCTTGAGAGGAGATTAAGCAAATTATGAGGAGTTTATCAGCAATCAGCAAGGAAAAGGAAAGCAATAACCAAAGATAAGGTAACAGGAACCAGAGCCAGCCACTGCATTGGGAGTTTCAATGTCCTTCCTCTCCCTCTTACCTTAATCTATAGCTCTCTGGGTCAC